ATTGCTAAAGAATCAGTTAGCTCACTCGGACCAGTTGAAAGTTCCAAAATAACATCCACTCCAGGGATACAAATTCAGGATACGCAGAAGACGGCTGTTTTATTATAGACAGTTGTCATATATTGTATTATCCGAGTTGCACAGTGTATAAACTGAAACATTGAGATCAAAAGTGCCGACGCAGAGTGAGCGATCTAATTCTTTAGCTGTAAACTGTGTCACAGGGTTCAAAATGGCCGCGCCCTATGTTGGGCGTGTCGGACCTCTCTCTTGCCTCGTATAGTAATCAAAGTATGTGGACTAAACCGACAATTCCGGAAGCAGAAGCGGATGATTAAAACGCACCTGATATTTTGCTTGCTGCTGTCAGTGTCAGTGAATATTATTTTTGGAGTCACAGTTTATAGCTAAAGAATCAGTTAGCTCACTCGGACCAGCTGAAAATTCCAAAATAACATCCACTCCAGGGATACAAATTCAGGATGCGCAGAAGACTGCAGTTTTATTATAGGCGATTGTCATATATTATATTATCCGAGTTGCTCAGTGTATAAACTGGAACATTGAGATCAAAAGTACCGACGCAGAGTGAGCGAACTGATTCTTTAGCTATAAACTGTGGTAAAGGCATAAAAATGGCCGCGCCCTATGTTGGGTGTGTCGGACCTCTCTCTTGCACCGTATAGCTGAGCTGGGCAAGTACTCGAATACTTTTACTCGTATTTCGATTACAAGTAGAATAACTACTCGTAATTTTTACTTATAAGTATTTTTTATTTTTAGTACTTATTACTCCGTACTTACAAGTAAATTTAAATCTACTCGTAGAATGTACTTGTAAAATACGAGTATTATTTTACGAGTAGTCAGCATTTTTTGATCGTCGCATGTTAACCGCCAGTCGCTACTATAGATCGCCAGTATCACGAATCACGACACGAAACGGCCTAGGTTGCGTTCGGGCTGCGGTCTCTGATTTGGGTTGGGAATATTGGGATAAGCAATTCGTTGGGCGTTTTACGTTTTATTATTTTTGGTGTTTTGTGGTGGTGTGAATGTGTTTTCTACGAGAACGGTTAAATATTAAACGTTTATAGTCTCCATACACAATCTTCGTTAATTTGAATAAGGATAATTTTCTAACCGTAGCACAATTTTATATAAATAAAAAATTCCTTGGTTTATTAGGTCATTAATTTTATTTTTTATCGTAAGCACAGCACTACATATGTTTCAAAAAACTTTGTTTCCATCTTCGGGTGCAGTCAAAATTAAATTTAAAAAAAAAACACATGGGGACGATTGCAAAGAGTTTAAATATTTTTAAAATAACAGAAATCCCATCTATCTGTTTCAGCGTGTGAAGGGTATTCGAAATAATATTGATTTGGTTTAACACGATAACAATAAAGTAGGGAAACAAAGAGATGAGTCTTTACAAAGTTAAAAATTACCAGTTTTAAAAAATTGTTTTAATTGTTCACTGTCAAGTTAACCATGTTTGTTTTATTTATATTCTAAAGAAAGTTTTCATTTATTTTAGAATTGTTTTTGTTTAAGTAAATAAAGACTATTTTTATTTAAAAATTATAGTGGTTTTTCTTTGTTTTTTCTATAGTTTATTTATTAGGTTAATTTTGTGAAACTACTCGTACTCTTTACTCGTATTTTCACGATTACTACTCGTATCCGTAAACTATCTCTATAAAAGTACTTACGAATAAAGTACTTATAAATACAATTTTCGAGTACTCGTACAATTTACGAGTATTTTATTCAGTACTCGTGCCCAGCTCTGCCGTATAGTAATCAAAGTATGTGAAATCCCTACATTTCCTACATTCTTGTCCCAGCTTGAAAAAAGTTCTCGCGGCGCCCATGCAGTTTCACTTAGGGTTGCCAACTTTGTTTTTTAATTTTTCTGGACGAAGGTAATAAAAAATCAGGACTTACGGTATATGTTCTGGACATTTTTATAATTGCAAAAAACATAACAAACCATAACAAACTTAAATAAACAATTCTACAAAAAAAAAACGGAGTGATAAAAACAGGATTCTAAACATTTTATTAAAAACAAAAAAAGCATAAAAAGAAAACGAAAAGTTACAGCTACGTAACAGTGTCACTGCATTTAAAATATTTTTTTCACTTTTGTAGCTACTATTAATTTCTTGTTACCTTTTACATAATTATAAAATTCTTTGCAAGTACAAGAATAATTAATCTTTATTTGAAGTTCGGCCTTAATGGACAATCGATTACGTGCGTCAGTCGAGGCGTCAGTCCACGAAGCTAAACACATATTTTTCAGAAATATTAAATTTCATTTTTCAAGTGTATGATTTTCATTATAAACCAGGTTTATAGCCGGCTTAATTTGACAGAATTATTTATAAAGTTGATTCATGTTTATGTTAAGAAGACCAAAATCAGTGACAAATTCACACACGTCATTATATTTTAAGGGTTCATTCAATGAAAATATTTTTAATTTTGAAAGAAAGTTGTTTTCAGTTAAATCAAATTTTTGTTGTACATATGAAGGAACATTTCTATAAAAATCAATGCACGTTATCTTAATGTCATTTTGAATATTACGTGGAAAAGATTTAAGCAAATTAGCACAACCAAAGCCTAGAAATTCGTCTTCAATTCTCTGATCCAATTTATATCTTAAATTAGTTAACTTATTAAAAACTTCAAAACAAATTAAATTCCTATTTTCCAACTGGTGTTCAATATCAAAATTGATTTTGAGTATAATAATAATACTAATAATAATACTCTCCCCAATTCACCCCCTTACGAGTGAATTTCAACCCCTGAAGTCGACTGAACGACTTGTGTAGGGGAAGGGACGGCTATTATTATTATTTGCCGTGGCGCTCCGGGGCGACTTAAGGATGATTGATGGTGCCATTTGACTTACAGGTGAGGCAAACCCGGAAAACCTCACCCACCATCATCGAGACGATAATGTATGGCGATTTTATAATCTGCATGTCATATCAACAGAAATTGAATTTCCATTAATACGGCACACATCAAATCCTATACCGAACCATGCAATTTAATTAAAAATCCACATGGTCTGGTCTGGGATTCCAAGCCCAGCAGTCTCGGACTCATAAACTCGCCTATAAATGAATATAAGCGCGATAGACCGCTACACCATCGACCCGATATGTTGTGAACAAGTGAAAAAGTAACATTCTGTAATACTATTTTGATAATTCTCTGAATCTTCAGAAAAATAACAAGTTTCATTTCACCAAAAGACATAAAATAGCTTTTTATCGCAGGAAACACTTGTAATAATCTGTCTACAGCAGTAAAAAGTGATAACCATCTTGTTGGTACGTGACAAAATCTTTTAATTCTCCCACTATTTTGGCTTGCGAAGAAAAATGGGCATATACTTGAGCACTAAGTTTTCAATGTCAAAATTGCATTTATCTAATCCATGTTTTACGCTATTATTTATTATATGAGCGAGACATCCACTCAGCAATATTTTTGAATTTTCTTTGAGCAATAACTGATATATGGAGTGAAATCTGCCAAAATTTACCGACGCATTATCTGCAGAGAAACTTGAAATTTGTTTTAAGTCTAGCCCAACAGACCAAAGTAAATACCCATTTTCAATTCGTTTAATAAACTTTCCAAAGATGAAAGGGCCCAGTACGTTATAGCCTATAGAACTAGCTTTAGTACGTCCCAAAATTATTTCTTCTGCAATATTTGAATCATTAAAAACTATTGGCGCCAGCTGAGATGAACAATTTAACGAGTTGTAGGAATGGGAATGTTTTACAGTATGAAACACACTACAAAGTTGCGCAATAAATTACTTTTTCCTTTGCAGTATCTATCACGTCTGATTTTAAAAAAGTTGTTTGATTTTGTTTAACAACCAATGCACTTTTTTATGTTCTTGTCCCATTTCGTGTTTTCGTACATCGCTCTTTCTCCCATACTCTACTAAAAAGACTTATGACAAATCTCATAATATGCTTTTGACAAACCCTCACTAACGATAGTTTCCTCAAGTAGCCATGGATATTTCTGCTCCTATTCTTTTCGACAAAGACATAATCTTCTAAATGTAAGAAAGTGGAAAAATTAAGTACAATAAGCGTCCTGCAATAGGTTGTTGCAGGACACTGAACAATGTACCCCAAATGGTGGACGTCCACCGAAATGCAGGACGGTTGGCAACCCTATCACTGGATAATAAAAACACTATTATAACTTGAAATTAAAACGATAATTTCTAATTTAATGAGGAGCACAAATAAAATTACTATTTTTATGTTGACTACTATTCTATGAAAGAGGTTTTTGAATCTATTTATAAAAAAAATGGTGAAGAAAATACATGAAAACCATAATAAATTAATAGTATTCATGTTGCGCTTATTAATAAACTGTAAATTTGGCGACTGGCTAATAATTTATTTCATAAAACATTGACAACTTTTCGTCCTTACCTTAGGTAGCTCAGGTCAATTTCTTCTTTTATACTTAAATCTTAGTATTGACTGCTGCTCTTTTAAACTATCCTCGAAAATAAAGTATTGTCAATTGTAATATAGATATTGATATTAAAGACGAATAAATTCAAAAATAAGGATTAAAATTATATCCGAAAAACAACAATAAAAAAAAACAATTAGCGGAATCGAGTGAAAACTTTAAGAGAAAAATTGTGTCAAACTTTACGCCCTCCCCTAAATTTTCCGGTGAGTGTAGAAAAGAATCATCCTAAATCAAATGATTAGTGAGTAACAGGTCACTTGAATTACGCAGCAATCATTTTTCAACTTACCAATAACCAAGTTTTCTAAACTCGCATCAACAAATTAAGTCTGCTTTTGAAAAAAAAAGCACAATCATTTACAAAAACATCAATAAACAATTTATTTGTATACAAAATCACAGAAAATAAAACTTAAAACAAGGTATCTTAAATAGGTATATCGAATTTTGTTGTCTTCACATTATTGTTGAGCTTTTGCTGTTAGTCTTTTTAGATTCAGTTCAGCCGACTTGAGATTCGAATCGATCTCCAACGCCTTTTTGTACATTTGACGAGCCTTATCCTTCTTATCCCACCTGTGATACAGAACACCTACAAACAAACAAAATTTCCAGCATATTTGACAGATATGAAAACTTTCGTAGTAAACGTTGACGTTTGACACGCCGTCACCTATCAAACATTGACAAAGGACAAGCTTCGTAGCAGAAATTGACGTCTGACACATTGTCTCCTATCAAATATTGATATTTGCTACGAACGTTGACGTTTGACAAGCAGAAACCTTACAAACTAGCTAATTAATTACCTAAATTTGAATAGTACAATCCGTTGTTCGGATTGAGATTGATGGCTTGCAAAAAATGCCCTTCGGCTTTTTCGAATTGTTGTATCTTCCCCAAAGTGTTTGCGAAGCTGAAATGTAAGGCGGGAGCTTTGGGATTGTGTATGAGAGCCGTCCGACCTAATTCCAACACTTCGTCGTACTTTTTCATGCTGTCCAACAGTACTAGGGTGTTGCTCCAAGCAGCGACGTGCGTGGGCCTGTATAGAACGGCCAGTTCCCACGCCTTTAGGGCGTCTTCGTTCCGTTTTAAATCCAAATACTGAAAGTGCATTAATAATAATTAATTCACAATTCCAATTTAACAAATGAAGGGCTGTTAAACGTTGTTTTTGCAGCTAGAACGTGCTACTGAGACGAAAACATCACCTGGTATTTATAATTTTCTAAAATTCGTTTCCATATTTAAAAAGAGAACAAAATGTGAGACCAACACTAAACACAACTTCTGTATAATGTAAATATGTTAATATTGTAATAAAAAAAAAAGATAAAACAAACTTTAACAAGCATATTTAAAAAAAAACTATAGTTTATGTTTTTTGGATAAAAAAAATATTACCTACAACTTTTATTCTTAAATAATAGTATATGACTATATAATTCTGCACTAAATCCAGTTTCATATATAATAAATGAATAAATTTGATTTTAAAGCATTTTGACAGCTTGTCAGATGGACTTCACGTCTCAGTATCGCCATCTGGTAAATGTTATATTACCGCTTACACTTACCAAGTTTCCCAAATTGTAATAACAATCGGGATACTTCTTTCTGTGCGTTATCGCCAATTTGTAACAATGTTCCGCCTCTTCCGGTCGATTCAAATTCGTTAAAACTATCCCCAAATTCATCCAAGCCGCGGCAAAATTCGGACTAAAAAGCAACTTAATGATTATTACAAGTGAAACGATTCTATTAAAGCAGTGACTAATGTTCGTATTTATAAATCGAACTCAAGTGAGTCTGACTCAAAAAAACCAAAGTTCCAGTGTTGCAATGTTGCGGTATAATAATTTTACAATTGCATATGGGAAAGAGTTAAAAAGCCATGAATGGCCCTTAGAATAATTAAAGTTAAAAGTCTGTTAATTAAGAATTTCAAAATGGTCATAACAATTTTACAAATGCATATGGGAAATAGCTAAAAAGCTATAAATGGCCCATTGAGTAAATAAAGTTAAAAGACAGTTAATTAAAAATTTCAAAAAGGACATAACTATTTTAAAGTTTCACGTGGAAAACAGTCCATCAAATAATTATTAAAGTTAGAAGACAGTTAATTACAAATTTCTAAAGGTCTATAACAATATTATACCGATGCATGTGGGAAACAATTAAAAAGCATAAGCGCTCCATTAAAATATTAAAGTTGAAGAGCAATTAATTAAATTTCAAAAGGGCCATAACAATTTTACAGTTAAATTTAAAAAGGGCCATAATAATTTTAAAGTTGCATGTGTGGAAGCAGTTAAAAAAATCATAAATGGTCTTTAGAATAATTAAAGTTCAAGAGCTGTTAATTGCAAATTTCAAAAGGGCCACAACAATTTGAAAGTTGCACAAGGCAAATATTAAAAAGCCATAAATGGCCCTTAGAATAATTACAGTTAAAGGCAGTTAATTAAAAATTTCAAAAGGGCCATAACAATTTTATAGTTGCTTGTGAGAAACAGTTAAAAAGTCATGAACAGCCTATCGAATAATTAAAGTTAGAAGGCAGTTAATTAAAAATTTCAAAAGGGCCACAACAATTTTAAAGTTGCACGAGGCAAACAGTTAAAAAGCCATAAACAGCCTTTAGAATAATTACAGTGAATTAAAAATTTCAAAAGGGCTATAACAATTTTATAGTTGCTTGTGAGAAATAGTTAAGAAGTCATGAACAGCCCATCGAATAATTAAAGTTAGAAGACAGTTAATTAAAAATTTCAAAAGGGTCATATCAATTTTAAAATTAAAAAGCCATAAACAGCTTATTGAAGAATTAAAGTTAAAGAGCCATAAATTTAACTCAAAATTTCAAAAGGGCCATCACAATTTTAAAGTTGCATGTGGCATACCGTGAAAAAAAAACAACAAATGGTCCATCGAATAAATAAGGGTAAAAGACATTGATTACAAATTTCAAAATGGTCACAACAATTTTAAAATTTTATGTGTCAAACATTTAAAAATAATAAATGGTCCATCAAATAAATAAAGTTAAAAGGCAGTTAATTAAAAATTTTAAAAGGGCCATAACAATTTTAAGTTGCATATGGGAAAGAATTAAAAAGCCATGAACCACTCTTAGAATAATTAAAGTTAAAAGTTCGATAATTACAAATTTCAAAAGGGTTATAACAATTTTACAGATGCAGATAGGCATAAACGGCTCATCTAATAATTAAAGTTAAGGAGCAGTTAATTGCAAATTTCAAAAGGATTATAACGATTTTACAATTGCTTGTGAGAAATAGTTAAAAGCTATGAACAGCCCAGCCCATAGAATAATTAAAGTTAGATAGCAGTTAATTAAAAATTCCAAAAGAGCCATTTAGATTTAATTAGGACTATGGGCCACGTGGCCTCCCCCACCTCGACCTTTACAGGTCTATTGTGGGCCATAGTAAATTTTATAAATGGCGCATCTAATAAAGTAAACGGTAATTAATTGCGAATTTCAAAAGGGTCATAACAATTTTACCGTTACATGTGGAAAACATTTAATATCGAATAATTATTAACGTTAAAAGGCAGTTAATTACAAATTTCAAAAGGGACATAATTTTACTGTTGCATGTGGGAGACAGTTAAAATTCCATCAAAGGCTCATCGAATAATTAAGGTTAAAGGGCAGTTAATTACAAATTTCAAAAGGGCCATAATGATTTTACAGATATATGTAGGAAACAGTTAAAAAGCCATCAACGGTCCATCAAAAAATTAAAATTACGAATTTCAAAAGGGCCATAATGATTTATCAGATGTATGTAGGAAACAGTTAAAAAGCCATAAACGACCCATCAAAAAATTAAATTTACGAATTTCAAAATAGCCATAATAATTTTACTGTTACAAATTACTTTGCCATTACTTTGTTATTTCTCTGCCATCACTTTGCTAAGTTACTTTGGTATCACAAAGGTCAACACCTTTCCACAACTTCAATGTTTATTGGATAACTATTAAACTACAAATAACTTTTTAACCGTAATTTTTAATATTTTAATTTGTTTCTGCTACGCCTATAGTGTCAATTATAACCTACAAAAGTAACTTTGGAACGAAAACAAAATACAGGAGTGCGTTTAGAAACCCCACACGGCGCGTCTGGACCCTATTCTAATGCTGTGGTCAGACACGGCGTGCGTGATTTCTAAACGCACTCCTGTGTAACCATGTTGGTACTAGTATGTCTTATTTATTTATCTTAAAATCAATTTAAAATTTCAAAATCAAAAATGGTTGCGACAATCAATTTTCGAAGCTAAATATGAAGGAAACGGGTTTACTATTGTTTACAACTGATTTGCAATGTTGCCAAACGTAAAATGTCTTTTGATAATTATAATGATTTACAATAATATTAAGTATGTGTGTAACGTGGATATGTCGATAGTTGTGCCCTTGAAGGTCTCGATTTTTGCTATTTTGGACCTTAGAATTTCTTATGAGATTCAGGGTGAGATTACAGAACGTCTGCAACTTTGCAGATCTGCAAATATGGCGGACTTACAGATGTAAGTATCCAAAAAATATCTGCAAATCCGCAATATTTATTACCTCTAACAACACTAAATCCAAATCCACCCTTAAGAAGGTTAGAACATCCTACAACCATGAAGTCTTCTGTTTCTTTTGATTGAATACAGTTCATGGTGTCAGATTATCGAGTTTTTAAACATAGTAATGGATTTGGGTTTAGTGTTGTTGCGGGTAATAAACCACAATAAATATTGCGAATTTGCAGATCTTTTTTGGAATACGAAAACTTGATACATGCATATGTAAGTCTGCCATATTTGCAGATCTGCAAAGTTGCCGCCATATTTGTAGATCTGCACAGTTGCAGACGTTCTGTAATATCGCCCCTAACATGGGAAAAATTACGATTTTGCACCAACCCGTGCTGAACATTTACTATTTAATTCAAGAGCAACGTAACTTGGCATCGATGTTCTAACATAGCTCAAAGTTACTCAAAGTGTGATTCGCGAAGCTCTAGGGCTCCGCAAAGCCTTTGTGGGGGCTCCGCGAAGAAAAAAATAGTCATAATAAAAAGAGCAGTACTATCGCTACAAAAGGAAGGGACTAGGCTTGAGGACCTTTTTTTTAGTCACTAATTTTGTTCTGAGGGCCGAGAATTCTTTTTTAGAAGTCATAAAGAGGAAGGACTGGAAGGAGGATATTATTTTTTTTAGAAGTTACCAAGAGGAAGGATATTTTTTTGATGTGGGCTCCGCGAAGAAAGGGGAGGGACCTGGCCCGAGGCCTGTTTTTTGAATTACTAAGAGGAAGGAAGATATTTTTGTATTTTTATTAGAAATGTGTTTAGGGCTTCGTCAAATATTTCGCTTTTCAAAAAGGTTCTGTCACCAAAAAAGTTTGAGAACCACTTTCTAACAGATTATTGCATTTTTACCAAAGACGCTTAGAATGTGAACTCATGTAGACTTCAAATTATTTTGTAAACAACCATGTTTATTTTAATTATATACAGGGTGTTTCATAATATATGCGCAGGACTTCAAGTTAATAGAAACGTTTTTCCATATTTTCGGACGAGCTATCACGTCCTGAAGTCCTGCGCATATATTATGAAACACACTGTATATCTATGATTCAGATTCTTTTGAGTTCGGTTTATAAATATGGACTAAACGTTTTACCGAATTTCCACCGCTTTCCTCAGCAACACTTCAGCCTCGCGGAACTTTTTATTCTCTCTGAGCAAATTTGCGAAATTGTTCATCGCCTGTTCGTATCTCGGATTCAGTTCGATGGCTTTGCTGTACTCTCGCAACGCCAAAAGTTTATCATTATTGTCGGCCGCTATTTTGGCGATATTGTAGTGAACTTTGGCGTTCAATGGGCACACGTCCAAGGCGGACGAAAAGAGTTTTTCCTCGGTGAGCCAGTTCATGTTTCGCGTTACCGTTTTGAGCATGAACACCGCCAAAAGGCTGTAGAATAAACACGAACATATCTAAAAAAAAAAAAAAGATAAAACGTTCATGGAACTTGTATACTTTCAGAACTATTGGGAACTGAAATTCTGTACCTCGGAGCCAGACCATGTTAAGTCCAAATTGACCAAATTTTAGCTAAATATGTTAAGTGACTTAAAATTTTGCGGCGCATCGTTTGGTATTTTCCATTTTAGCGTAACTTTTAAAATAACAAAAATAGCTCATTTTTAACTACACTAAACCCACAGTCTAAAATGAATATATAAAAAATGCTTGTGTTCACGGTAGAGGGCGTTTCACTTATTTTCAGGTCCCAATACGCTATATTAATAACGACGTAATTTGTGTCCCACTGACAATGACAGTAGAGGTTTTAGGCATTCATTGACAGTTTGGGTATGGTCCGTTATTAACCGAAATATCGGTTACTCGGTCCAAAACTAACCGCTCTGCTCGATATTTCTGAAAAATCGGTTAAATTAGGGACGCGGTTACCTGAAAATGGTGACTGAAACGTCAATTCACTAACCGCCATATTTTTACGGTTTCTATTAAGTCAAATATCAATCTGTCACAAAAGTGACGTAAATCTCGGACGTGGTCCAAGAAATTAGTTTTTATCAGGAACCGCTGTCAAAAAATCCTGGTTACTAGTGGTTATAGTCTATTTTTATGTATGAGAGAGTATTAAAATAATAAAGCGTTCGTAATCCATAGGCGTACCACTTCTTTTAGTAGACAGTTAAAATATTTTTTGAAGTTATTCCTCGAGTATACACTTATATTTTCACCTAATTAACCTGCTTATAACTTCTAAACAGCTGAAGGTAAAAAAGTGCAATTTTTTTCTAAAATGTTTTATTTTTCCACAAGGTATGTTAAGAACATTGTGTCAAACGGGTTATGTAGGTATAAGGGTTTAAACTTTGACTTTTAAACAACGTTACGTTCATAAATAATAATCTACTATATAAAAATAAGTCGGGTTTTCCTTCCTGACGCTATAACTCCAGAACGCACGAACCGATTTCCACGGTTTTGCATTCGTTGGAAAGGTCTTGGGCTCCGTGAGGTTTATAGCAAAGAAAATTCAGGAAAAATTTCAACAGAAAAGCGGGAAAATCTTTTTTCACATACAGCGCCATCTCTGATACATAGCATGTACTACAAGCCATTATTTTAAGTAGATGGCGCCGGCGCGTGATACATTGTTCGACAGCTACTCATTGTTCTCTGCTCAGTTAATTTCATGTGACAAACCGGTATTGTGTTTACTGTGAAATTGTGAAAAAAAAGTAAAAAAAATAAATTATTCGTTTCCTAACATTTCAATTGGAAACCATCAAATCAATCACGTGTATTGTGCAAATTTTTATTCAATTTCAACAGCAGGCATTTATCTTTAAGGTGGTAAGTTGAACTGTGTAAATTATGTGGATCGTGCATTTGAGGTTAAATTCACCACTCTGTCCATAGTCCAAAATGCCTAGAAGACGACGTGCGAACATCGGCCGCCGCACAAGACATGCAAGCCAGCAACAAGTGTATTCACAGAACTTAAGCGAAGAAAGACAAAATATAATAAGAGAAAATGCCCGATTGAGACAACGCGTGAGCACACGAAGATCATTGGCATCATACAATCGCTTGGAATTCCAATATGATCCCACTGCGAACTACAGTGATGATGAAAATTTAGATATTGGACCAATGACGACTATATGCAGATATTGCAATGCGTAAAAGTACAAAAGAGAAACGGCTGGATTGTGCTGCGCAAGTCGAAAACTCAAACTGGATCCATTACTTACACCACCACAGCCACTGAAACCATTGTTCGATGGAAGTGATCCCGATTCCAGCCATTTTCTTCAACACATCCTTGAATACAATAACTGCTTTCGCATGACTTCCTTTGGAGCTAATATCATTCGAGAAGGCAGCTTCATGCCGACTTGCAAGGTAAAAGATACAACACACATAACCAATCACTCACACCAACACAATGAATTGCAACACATAACAACTACATATACACCACACACTACACCATCACACGATCAGAAGTTACACCGTATTCTTCAACAAATGATTGTTTGCAATTACAGATACAAGGACAAATATATCATTTGCATGGTTCAATGGTGCCAACACCAGATGAACCGCACCAATTTCTGCAAATATATTTCATTTCGTCGATGGTGGATCAGCTGAATGTGCGGTGCAATATACAGGGAACACAACAGTTGAAGAGACGAATAATTGAACAGTTGCAAGCATTTTTTCACGCTAATAATGCTGTGGTTAATATGTTCAAAACAGCATTGGAACGAATCCTTTTCAAATATAAAACAAAAAATAAATTTTTTTTCATCTTTTAATCACCAAACGAAATGTTACATAAAACGAAACCATCTGGTGGCGAAACGGAGTTCGCCGGGTTTGCTAGTTTTAATATAAAAACTACTTCTTACCTACAAATCGAAATCATAAGATGAACTGTCGCAACCAATATTTACAATGAGTGGCTCGATCATTTCATCAGTAATATTGTCCAACTTCCACATTTTCTCTTCTTCTTTAATCGTATGATTTTCTGCCTTTTCCCAGTTTTCAGGCTTCACATTATTTACAGCCTTCAAAAACAACTGTTTAACATCACTCATTTTAAAAGAATTATTTTTTCTGGAAACTTCTCCCTTTATCTGTGCCCATATCAGTTCAATCGGGTTTACTTCGCAATGATATGGTGGTGATCTAACCACCGTCATCCCACGATTTTTTGCAATTTCATCAATTTCATATTTTTTGAATTTCTTTTTATGAAGGGAACACAAATGATACAGTTCTTTTCTCACAGAACCGGGATGGAACTTAATATTCTTTGAATTTAGCCAATTCTGTAAATCTTTTTTTAACCACTTGGTTGTGGGCATTTTTTCTATAAGTCTCGAGTGATAACTTGCATTATCCATTACTATTATACAGTTCTGAGGAAGAAAATCTATAATTGGTTCGAACCACTCTTTAAAGACATCAGCATTCATGTCATCATGGTAGTCATCGGTACGAGTAGATAGATGTGTACTATTATTAGTATGCGCCCCTTTCCTGATGGTTGATTTAAACCAGTAGATAAATTATTTAAAAAAGCCTGTCTTCGACTTGTAACAGTTTCATCTTGCCAAAATTTATTTGGTTTATGTCCCTCGTTGATCCAAGTTTCATCTAAATAAAATATATTTCTTCTTTGGTTTCTCATTTCTTTTATAGTCCTTAGGTAATTTCTTCTCCATACTATAATATCGCTTATTTCTATTAAAATAGACTTTCTGGAATGCTTTTTCCATAGAAAACCTATTTCTTTTAAAAGTTTCCATAGTGTGCTTCGACTCATTTCAGGGTAATCCTTATCATCTCGAACCGTGGCAAGAACTTTGTCTACTGTCGGAAATTCTTTTCTAAAGAAGAACGCATGCACTTTCCTTCGAGGTCTTTCTTTCAAAAGATTTTCTAATTGAAATTTTGGTTTTCCTGGAGCTTTACGTGCTGTTTGAAACTCGCCACATTTCTCTTCTTTAACAACTCTGTAAATCGTAGATTTCCCAACATCAAGAGTACTACTAACTAATTCCACTGTGTCATCAACACTTTTACATAAAAGTTTGTCTGTAAATGATTTAAAACAATTAAATATTAATGTTTTTTCAATAACTGTTAAAGGACCGATTTTTGTCGTTTACGCGGCCCTTCCAAATTTTCCATGATCACACTAGAATTCACACTGCACCTTGCAAGTTGCAACTAAACGACATTTAGTAAACTGTCAAGAATACACAACTTTTGGACCTCCTTACTAAATGGAAAACCTATAATCGCATTTTCGGTGAAATTTGTTGGGAAGGTATTTATCTACTTATAATTCGATTACTGTAAGAAATTCTTGGAATTAAAATAAAACAAAATTGGCAAATAGGTACTTATTGAAAATAATCTTAAGATAGGGCTATATAATCTTTAATACACAGGGCTTTTGGCCTGTCCAAACCTTTTTCTATTGTTCTGTACAGCTTATGTTTATAAAGGACCAATAAAAGACCCAAAACTTGTAATAGCTCAGGTACATTTATTATAGTTTTAGGAAATATTTAGATTATTCTGTAAAAATATTTAAAATGACCGTACTAAGTTTTGCATTAGAAATGCTGTTTTATTACTCCCTCATACATAAAAATAGACTATAGTAGTCCGTTAATAACGGACCATACCCTTTATTTCTATTTATTTTTAAGTTTTAAAATAATTTGTTTACATAATATACCTTTAAACTACTGTTTTACGACCGGCAAACACTACTTAAAAAAATAAATAAAACTGAATATGTTAATTTCAATGATAAAATGGTTTGTTTTTGCTAAAAGTCAACTGTCATCAGAACACATTACGACATACTTATAGTGGATTTTATTTGTTGCACTAGGTGTAAGTTTTCTGCACTAATCGCACTTAATTTGTTCAGTTTAGCTTCAAATATTTGACACATATTTGAGTGTAGCATACACTTTTGACAAGTATGACAGTTCGAATACAGTGTCGAGTGTGACACTAGTGCAATAAACAAAAACCATTATAAGTTAGCGAAGGTATGTTTCAGTCCTGAAAACTTGCAAACAGACGTCATCTGTCAATGAATGTAATATGCTTCATCAACTAATAAAATAGAAACTACATTTAACGAAAAGATAAAATATGACAACATGATTTGAATGACATCAGTTTTAAAGCTTTCGGGACTGCTGTACAATTAAAATAAATACCTTATTTCCGGTAAATCTAAACAACTTCCTGTAACCAACGACCACCAATAGACAAAATCCAGCACTCGGTAACAACAAAGTCCTTTCGGCTATAACGAAACCTACAGTAAAAAAAATATTCGAAGCCGGTAGAAACGGCAACACCACCAGGCATATCCCCATTATCCTCACATCCCTAAAATTAAACTCAATTGAAACGTTTTCATTCAACACCCGTTCTAGGACAATATTTACAAAACTTCGTTAACGTAATTTTGACGTAGAACAGAGAACAGCCCGAACAGCGTCAGACACCAAAACAGGACAACGAATACTACACGGATATCACACAGCGATTCAATAAGGGGAACGCATCCCATGGACCAGTCGAAACACAACCATTCGGGCCACAGAAGCAACAAAAAGTTTAGCAAATAAATGTAGTTAAACGTAAACACCTGAAACATATTAGTAGAAGCTCGATTTATACTGAAATTCCTTAAATATGCTCTCAATACAGTACGAAAGATATAAGCCGCCAAGGTCATTTAGAGGTGATCACTTGGATCTAAATACATTAGACTCTAAATTTTGCAATTTGAGACGTTGCCAAATATATACATCGTAAATTGCCGCTTGTAAATTGGCGGAAGATCGTCTACGTTCGTTGAAGCTCCTATATGTTCGTAAAGACCAGCTCATGTTCATAAAATTTCCCAGTGATCGTAAAGGTTCACACATACTTAAGAAAGTTTGTAGAACAGATTCAAGTTAGCACAAACTTTTTGATGTCCACTGAAGTTAATAGGGACTCGCCTGCATTCGTGGAGGACGTTCGTAGAAGCTCGCCTATGTTCGTAAAAGCCAGCTCATGTTCATAAAAGTTCCCCAGTGATCGTGAAGGTTCACACATACTTAAGAAAGTTCGTAGAACAAATTCAAGTTAACACAAACTCTTTGATGTCTACTGAAGTTCATAGGGACTCGCCTGCGTTCGTGGAGGATCGCCTACGTTCGTAGAAGCTCGCCTATGTTAGTAAAAGCCAGCTCATGTTCATAAAAGTTCCACAGTGATCGTGAAGGTTCACACATACTTAAGAAAGTTTGTAGAACAGATTCAAGTTAGCACAAGTTCTTTGATGTCTACTGAAATTCGTAGGGACTCGCCTGCGTTTGTGGAGGATCGCCTACGTTCGTAGAAGCTCGCCTATGTTAGTAAAAGCCAGCTCATGTTCATAAAAGTTCCCAAGTGATCGTGAAGGTTCACACATACTTAAGAAAGTTTGTAGAACAGATTCAAGTTAGCACAAGCTCTTTGATGTCTACTGAAATTCGTAGGGACTCGCCTGCATTCGTGGAGGCTCGCCTACGTTCGTAGAAACTCGCCTATATTCGTAAAAGCCAGCTCATATTCATAAAAGTTCCCCAGTGATCGTGAAGGTTCACACATACTTAAGAAAGTTCGTAGAACAAATTCAAGTTAACACAAACTCTTTGATGTCTACTGAAGTTCGTAGGGACTCGCCTGCGTTCGTGGAGGCTCACATACGTTCGTAGAACCTCGCCTATGTTCGTAAAAGCCAGCTCATGTTCATAAAAGTTCCCCAGTGATCGTGAAGGTTCACACATACTTAAGAAAGTTTGTAGAACAGATTCAAGTTAGCACAAACTTTTTGATGTCCACTGAAGTTAATAGGGACTCGCCTGCATTCGTGGAGGACGTTCGTAGAAGCTCGCCTATGTTCGTAAAAGCCAGCTCATGTTCATAAAAGTTCCCCAGTGATCGTGAAGGTTCACACATACTTAAGAAAGTTTGTAGAACAGATTCAAGTTAGCACAAACTTTTTGATGTCCACTGAAGTTAATAGGGACTCGCCTGCATTCGTGGAGGACGTTCGTAGAAGCTCGCCTATGTTCGTAAAAGCCAGCTCATGTTCATAAAAGTTCCCCAGTGATCGTGAAGGTTCACACATACTTAAGAAAGTTCGTAGAACAAATTCAAGTTAACACAAACTCTTTGATGTCTACTGAAATTCGTAGGGACTCGCCTGCATTCGTGGAGGCTCGCCTACGTTCGTAGAAACTCGCCTATATTCGTAAAAGCCAGCTCATATTCATAAAAGTTCCCCAGTGATCGTGAAGGTTCACACATACTTAAGAAAGTTCGTAGAACAAATTCAAGTTAACACAAACTCTTTGATGTCTACTGAAGTTCGTAGGGACTCGCCTGCGTTCGTGGAGGCTCACATACGTTCGTAGAACCTCGCCTATGTTCGTAAAAGCCAGCTCATGTTCATAAAAGTTCCCCAGTGATCGTGAAGGTTCACACATACTTAAGAAAGTTTGTAGAACAGATTCAAGTTAGCACAAGCTCTTTGATGTCTACTGAAATTCGAAGGGACTCGCCTGCGTTCGTGGAGGCTCGCCTACGTTCGTAGAAGCTCGCCTATATTCGTAAAAGCCAGCTCATGTTTATAAAAGTTCCCCAGTGATCGTGAAGGTTCACACATGCTTAAGAAAGTTTGTAGAACAGATTAAAGTTAGCACAAGCTTTTTGATGTCTACTGAAGTTCGTAGGGACTCGCCTGCGTTCGTGGAGGCTCGCCTACGTTCGTAGAAGCTCGCCTATGTTCGTAAAAGCCAGCTCATCTTCATAAAGTTCCCCAATGATCGTAAAGGTTCACACATGCTTAAGAAAGTTTGTAGAACAGATTCAAGTTAGCACAAACTCTTTGATGTCTACTGAAGTTCATAGGGACTCGCCTGCATTCGTGGAGGCTCGCCTACGCTCGTGTTGGTTTTCACTTACACACACAACTCAAAATCCCCTTTCAAATACTGTTATTGTCTTAATGTAATATTTAAAATATTCTGACTGAGAGCATATTTAATTCCTATCAGAAAAAATCATCGGTTACATAAATACAGACAAAAATTAATCTAAAAATTGTTTTTTTTTTACCCTTGCAAACGCATTTTGGGCGTGAGCCGCTGGATTATCGTTATCAGTAAAAATGGGACCTTCGAAATTCATGATCCTCAAGCGATAATACATGATCCCCAATCCTGCCAAAATTAATATCACGCATCTCACAATTAAATTGAATTTGAGCATATCCTTCCAAGGTACGGATTTCCTTTTTTCTCTGTATATATCATAGAATATTAATAAACCCTGAAAATAACAAAAAAACGTTTATAGAACGAAGGTTCTATAAATTTACCTACATGTAAATCTTTAAAGATAGTAACGTGTTTAAAATAAGAACTGAAACCTAAAAACTGAAACTAAAGCCTAAATACGTAATATTTGATGCTGAATTATCTCATACAATCCTCGCAGGGTTTGGGGGACCCTCTACTTTTCTTAATAATTGTCAATGATCTGCGACTACATCAGATGATCTAAAAAAATTTTAGAAAATATTCACTCTAGATGACTATCTAGATTTTCAAAATGACTTGAACTCAATTTCGGATGGTCATTAGAAAATAAATTACTTTTTACTCTTTCCAAATGCAAGATAATTACACTCAGTAATACTCAAAATTGTATATACGCAATGAAGGATCAGCACTAGGAAGAGTGTTATAAATGGCGAAAATTAAATACTAATTGATCATCATATTCAAATTGATAATGTGTTTTCGACAAAATTATAAAGCCCGAACTCAGCATAAATATAAAAGAAATTTTGAAAAACAATTTAAAATAAATTAAATAAATATTTATACTTCAAAAAGTCCAGGCTTTCTCTTTGAACATATTATAAAAGAGTAGAAATTCGTAGATATTCTTAGAAATTCGTAGAAATTCGTAGAAATTCGTAGAAATTCATAGAAATTCATAGAAATTCATAGAAATTCATAGAAATTCATAGAAATTCATAGAAATTCATAGAAATTCATAGAAATTCATAGAAATTCATAGAAATTCATAGAAATTCATAGAAATTCATAGAAATTCATAGAAATTCATAGAAATTCATAGAAATTCATAGAAATTCATAGAAATTCATAGAAATTCATAGAAATTCATAGAAATTCATAGAAATTCATAGAAATTCATAGAAATTCATAGAAATTCATAGAAATTCATAAAAATTCATAGAAATTCATAGAAATTCATAGAAATTCATAGAAATTCATAGAAATTCATAGAAATTCATAGAAATTCATAGAAATTCATAGAAATTCATAGAAATTCATAGAAATTCATAGAAATTAGTAAAGGGGCTATGTTCATTCAAGCGCATTCTATATGTAAATTAACATGGGAAATCGCTAAGGTGAAAAATAGCAAAAACATAAATATCAAGATCACTCGTCGAGAATCGAAGTCTAGCTTATCAGTAAAATATGATAACGTTAGATAACGTCGGGAATCCAAGATGCCGGCAATCGTTGACGTAAACAATGAAAAATATACGAGGGAAACGAAAAGCCAGAAGGACCTTAGTGTATCTTTATTGTTATTGGTCCGATTTAAATGGGAAAAACGGTATTACGTAGAAAACGCGGTATAGATGAACGTTGAAGAGAAAAATCGTGCGTAGAACGAAAAGCCAGAAGGGCCTAAGCGTGTTTCTCGGATATTACTGGTCCGATTCAAACAGGAAAAACGGTATTACGTAGAGAACGCGGTATAGATGAACGTTGAAGAGAAAAATCATGCGCAGAATGAAAAACCAAAAGGGCCTTAGCGTGTTTATCGAGGTAGGCCGCCTGGATACACCGCAACCCGCAATACACGGTCTAACATTCCGAGGCACCGCGGCCCGCTACTTCCGGCCTAGACATAAGTTTGATATATTAATGGATGTTAGGTGTAAGAGATCTTCAAAAATTAAAAGATTAAGGTTGAAAAGAAAAACCATGCGCAATCAAGGACCTAAGCATGTAATTACTATTAGTCGGATTCAAACGGGTGAGTGGGGGAATTAAGTGGAAGCGATATCGTTGTGTGTACGTGAAGAAGCGATGTCGATGGCTCGTTCATTCTCGTGAATAATGTGGGGTATGGGGGTCCTTCTTGGGTATTGAAAAAACCTGCGTAGTGATGAACCTAAAAGAACGGTCGTTAACGTATATCTCCGCTAATAATATTTCGATTTGAACAAGGCAAACGGCATACAAGTAATAACGTCAACCGGCTTATGGCGAAATTATTATATCATTACTACCGGTATCCCACCATCTTTAATATTTCCGATTCTCATGATTTTTGAAAGGGAAATGTCACGTGACATACTAATAATGAATTTAGCATTAGTTGTGCCTTATTGGCGCATTTTTAAATTAATGTCTCCGATTTCTGTAATTTTTGAGTATGTAATGTAATGCAACATGCTTATAGAATCTTGTACATCAATCCTTTTTAAATGGAAAACGTGTAGTTCACTCTGGAAAGTAGAGTGCTAGTGTGGACATTTGGGGGAAAGTTATTTGTAATGGTGCAACATTGGACAATGGGTTAGGAGGGCATAGGAGAAGTTCAAAAGCGATTTAATAAGGAGAGATAAAACGATGAAACAAGGCGAACTTCTCGTATGCCCTCCTAACCCATTGTCCAATGTTGACTTTGTACCATTACAAATAACTTTCCCCCATTTAAATTATTAGCAATATTTGTCCAATCTTTACTTAAAAGTCCACACTAGCACTCTACTGTCCAAAGTGAACTACACATTTTCCATTTAAAAAGCATTGGTGTCCAAGATCCTATCTCATGGTGACTTTTGGAAGTAATGTGCAGCCATCTTGGATTGCTTAGCCGTATCGCAAGCCGGGTCGATCCACAGGTGACGTGGCGTCTCAACTCCTTCAACACTGTATTGATAGTTGGCAACACTGGATTGACAGTTGGCAACACTGGATTGACAGTTGGCAACACTGGATTTACAGATTGGCAACACTGGATTGACAGTTGGCAACAGTAGATTGACAGATGGCAACACTGGATTGACAGCTGTCAGCGCATCCGCAGTTTAAAAAGGGGCGTGGCCTAAAAAAGTGAAGGGGATCCTCCCAAGTAAGGGTATGCCTTCTGAAATTCATAGAAACAGGAAATCACGGATCACGACCGGAAAGGTCGCTGACCTCGGCTCGCCCTACCAGGCGTTCAAGATGTGATGCAGGACATCGCATCTTGCATCATAGCTGTCGAAAACATTTCTATTTGTATTGTACTATTGTATTCTATGAAGCTGGACAAATACACATATAAATAATAAAGTTGAATTTAATTATTTGAATAAATTCACTGAGAGTTTCAATTTATCTTATTGATTTTATTTCAATATATTTTGAAGAGATGCGATAACTTGCATCAATGGAAGCTTCTCCACTTAAGCACATATAGAAGGGAACTTTAAAATATTGGTGGCTCCCTCCAAAATGACATAAATTTGTAGGATTTCCGTGGCTTTGGTGTGGGGTTTGCTAGTACTTTAACATTTTTGTTTTTCTATAAACTTTATAAAAGCAATGTTTGTTTAGGTATTATAACCTAAATTTAACTTATTAATTAAATATTATGTATTTTTGTTGTACTATAAAAACATGTAATTAGACTTATATCTGTTTTTGGTAATAAATAAATAAATAAACTAACTTCACAATTAAGATTAACTTTAGACTTAATATCAAGTGCAGAATGGTACTCCTCTTCAATTTTTAATAGATCAAGACAATGTTCAACACGTACCTGATCATTGAAAAAAACTAAAACTATAATGAATCTCTAATAAATTTTAATTATATTCCACGAACCATTAGTTAATTATTTTAATATTGTTAAACTTATATTATTTGCATGTTTTCCAGAAAAATGTTTAATTTATTAATGATTTGAGGAAAAAAACTCATTTATTTGAATATCACAATAACGATTCAAAGTATGATCAGGATCAGAAAAATAGTCCACCTCTACTTTTTTTTTTAAATTAACATTGACATTATATCTTTAAGGATTTACATGTAAATATAATTATTAAAAAAAGATTTGCGAATATGGAAATTAAACTATTAAAGATTAGGATTGTTGAAACTTACCAGTACAGCTATAGCAGTTTCCTTGCAAAATACAGCACAAGCTGTTAGAAAAATTATCATAAAAAACCAGAAAACGACTCCTTCGTCCTTTGTATTCCTAACTCTGTGATACAACAGAATTATGATGCAAAATAGCACCGAGCTTAAAATATCAGCTCTCCCAACCAAACCAGCAACTGCTTCCGTATGTACAGGATGTACAGTAAACAGCAGGCTGGAAAAGTAGGCTATATCGTGGACATTTGTTGCATATTTGGACTTTTTTAAAAACAGTTCAAAAACAGGTACAGTTAGTAGGCAGAGAAGACCGTAGAGGATTATGTTTGTAGCGTGAAATTGAAACGCATCAAGTTTATCTTTGGAATATAGAACATTAAATCTAAAAGAAAACCTTTTATTTATACAAGTTTAAATTATTATTTTTAGCTTACCTGTAAGATAATATCGTAAGAGGTCTATAGGACTTGTGGCTGCTGTTAAGAGTAATGTCAGTGCCCCAAAAATCGTTTTTAAAAATATTAATTAGTGGCGTGTGAGGCATTACATCTTTATTCTTAATAATAGCTTCATTATCGTCGAATACAAAAGTCCCGTAAAGTGTGTTACAATAACACAAAAATGCAGCCAAAGAAATTGTTATATACTTTTCAGTATTTCCCTAGAAGTTTTACGAAAATTATAAATTAATAAAATTTGGTATTGGTACACTTACCATCTTTGTACTATGAATTATTTACTTCATTATGAAGAGTTTCTTTTTAGCTAATTGTAATTACAGCACTTTTTCAGCTTCCTAAGAAATACATATCGATTTTGATTAAGCCTTTTATTAAAAATTATATTCAATCGCAGTCCAATCACATAACCTACCAAAAATTTGGATTTTTGAATTTAATCAATAAAGTGCTACAGGAAACTGTATTTAATTGGTAACGTTAATTAATCAGTTAGTACCAATTTTCATTAAATTTTAATTACACATATTATGTAATGACTTAAAAAGTAAAACAGCAATTTCTAATATAATTAATTTTATATATTTAAAAAATTATTTATCATAAACGTAGTTAGTCTGCTTTGTACTAGATGTCGGTAGTGAGCAAATTAAAAAATTGTTGAAAAAGTGATTCGCGGAAAAATGCCTAAGTAACAACGTTGCCAAAGAGCAAATAATTAAAAAGTGTTTATAGTATAGACCCAGTATAAAGACCAATACAGTAGCGACAGATCATTTTTTATGAGGGGTCCATATTTTTCTGCGCATGTCCGAAAATAAGCGACAAAAACGTCAACGTCAATGCGATGTAAATATGTCATTATTTTTGTTTGTTTGCAGTGCATATTTTGAGACATTTTTATTATTTTAGTTTTTCATTTATTGTGTGATATTTTTGAAATGGCTTCTGCACCTGATCAGAAACGAAAGAGATGTGTCTATCGCCCTTGTCCATCTCAAACAGAGTAAACAGACAAAGGGACAAGTTATTTTGCATTTCCCATGGAGCCAGAAAGGTATGTCTTAAGAAAATACTTTCAATTTTTATATTTGAAAACCAAATATTTATTTGACAACCAAATATTTATTATTTAAATGTCTTGAGGACAATTTTTACAATTTCAACAAAAATAATGTAAAAAATATATAATTTCTGAACTACCGTCAATCTAAACATTTGTTATCAACTTTTCTATATTTTAGGGCCAACATGTGGTTAAGAGCTTGTAATAGGGAAGATTTGAGTAACATAGATGTGAACAGTCTTCATCGGAATTACAGGTTGTGTGAGAAACATTTTGAGAAGAATTGTTTTTCTAAAACATTGAACCGTAAACGTTTATTGCCTACTGCTGTTCCCACATTTTTTATCCATCTAGGTCATCAGCCAAATGTCTATCTTCTCCCTAGTACATCGACCAAGTGCTTCCTCTGTTGAGACTATCATTGAACATGAACGAGACATTTTTGAAAGCGTACCATGTGCAACCTTTGGACATTCTTAATCAAAAATCCTACCTCCAAATTATTATAATGAATTAGATGTTCTTTGATTCACTATGTCCATTGATTAAAAATGTTCTGATTGACTACATCTAATCAAAATATATATGTATTTCTTGTAAAGTAGCAAAAAGAAAACAAAAAAATGTATTTTGTGGTGTTTTAACTGTTTTTTAATTTTTGATTTGTTTCATTTATACAATATTTAAGCACTTAAACAATAATATATATAATCTTATAAACAGTTGTATGATATATACGTTAGGGAAATTAGGACAAGGATGTTTAAATTCTATTTCTTTCATAATATCAAAAAAAGCTATGCGATATACCAGACATTACACAGGTATTGCTAAAAATAGATATAACATTTTTTTATAATTTAAATATATAGATAATAAACTTTTCATTTGGAGTTTTTAGGCCTCCATAAGTGCTTTATTTGCAATCATATGTTAAAATCTATGAACTATCCAAATATTCACATACTTTTGAAAATTTAATAAATGTATCACATCCATGTATGCCTAAAGCTTTTTTGATCAAATAGCCACAAACATATTTAACTGGATTTTGAACTATTATATCTTCTGTCCTGTAGCTGTAATTAGGAAGAAAAACAGCTTCTCGAGTGTTTTTATTTATTTCAGGATACAGAGAGACAATATTTTTTACATCTAATTGTAGCAAGTGCTTGTCCAGGTCTTCATTACAATTCATGGAATTGCAATGAAGATAATTTTGACAAAAAAGTTTTTTAAATGCCCTTTCGAATTGTACAGGTGTTGGATTAATTAAATTCCCACCCTGTTGCCTAATGGACCCAACAAATTTTTCTAGACAGTCACTATTGATTCTTCTAGCCATTAAATATTTAAATCCCGCAGCAGATAACCTTTCCCATACAAATTTTAAACCATAAAATCGTTAAATATAAACATCTAATTTTTATGATGTGACGTTAATAGTATTTAATTATATACATAGGTAATATAAGCAATTGGGCAGCATTGTGCTTAACGGGTGACTTACAACAGGCATTTGCTAAAACTCATCTGAAGTCAAAAATTTGTACGTAGGAACAAAAATTGAAATAAAATAATTCTTGTATTGTAAATTCATTAAAAACTTACTAATTTGTAATTGTGTGTTTTAATAAATATTATTGTTATATGTTGTTTCACTTCTAAAAAGATACCTACATAACCTCATTTTAAATAAAAAAATAAGGTGCCGAGTTAATTTATTAGTGCCAGGAAGAAACCAAAAAATGTTTAACACATTTCATACAATGAATGGCATACAAAAGTAATTTATTTTAATCTAATGATAAAATTTTAAAATTGGCACATCTAGATTTTCAACGGAACTCATTTATTTAAGTTACACAATATTTTGATTAATTTATTTGCCTAGAATACATTAAAATGTTATATGTACATGTTTTAATTTCTAAGTGTACATCGCTAATTTGCAATTTTAGAGTTTACTTTTCTCCGTGTAGAAATAAGCGACAAAAACGTCAACTGTCATTGAAAATCTGACCACCCCGACATCAAAGAAGCCGACGCAATCTGTCGCTACTGTTGCTGCGTTTGAGAATCCACATCGGATGCATTTTTTACATCTCGAGCGTTTTTTTATCCACATCGGACACATCTGTCCCATTACATTTACGTATACTGAATCACGTGATCAAAGATTTTTTACATCTCAGATGCATCCGATGTGGATTCTCAAACGCAGCATATATTGTTCTTTATACTGGGGTATAGATCCGAAATAAGGTCAACCTTCACCCATTTGTTTAACGGACGAGAGTTGTTTTTATTATAAAATATGTTTATAAATATACCGTACATGGGTTGCCTAAGAAAATAAGGTCACGGCCATTTTTTACTTTTCTTTCTGTATACAGAGATAAGGAAAGTATAGAAATCATGATAAAAGTTGCTTGCGATATGATTCTCTATAATTTTGATGCTATACATGATTTTCCTCAAGATATTTGAGGAAAAGTACAAATTTAGAATTTTGAAAATAACTCAAACACGAATAAAGAGAAAACACCAAATGTTAAACTTAAGCTTTAATTCATTCTACGGCTAGCTAAATAAATTTTGGGCATAGTTGAAGCATCTAAGGAATACTTTATAGAGTGTCTTTTTTTTACTTTTAGAAAATATACAGTCTTGACAGTATTTTCTTAGGACCGATTCCACCATTGTGTTAAACGAAGTTTAAAATGACATTTTTACATTAACAATGTCATTTTAATCTCCGTTTAACACAACGGTGGAATCGGCCCTTAGACTATTAGTATATTTTGATGGCGATTTTGTATTTTGGAATTTTTAATAAAGGAAACATAATACTTTTTGGTAATTAATCAATTAATTAATGCTCCACTTTGCACTGACTGAATTTGCCCCTGCCACGTCCATTTTTGTTTTGCCTTTACTTCTTTTTTTTAATTTTGAGGACAAATAAAATGATCTAAAATTAAAGTATCTTTGTTCATTTATAAAAAAATGTATGGCCTCTAAAGTTAGGTCTGTTCCAATACGCACGAAACCCGTAATATTACCGTACAAATTATGCGCTCTACGCAAAATTTGTATACAGTGCATGATTTGTACGGTAATATTACGGTTTTCCCGCGTGTTGAAACAAACCTAATGTCTCTGATGACTCAAATTTGTTTTTGCGTATAATTGATATAATCCTGGCAACTATGTAACGAATTAATTTTATTGTCAGATCAAGATAGAATACTAATGGGGTGGACATTAATCTACAAGAGCTACTAATAAACCAAAACTGTCTTGCTTGAACAATTTTTAAAAGCTGAACAATCTTTTTAAAAGATCCGGCAACTGTGTGCATTTTTTGATGTGTTGTCAATAGCGTCAATGTCAAATTATTACACGTCACGTCAACACGTCGTTTGGTGTTATCGAGTGGGTGATGTGTATAATTTCGTAAAAACATGTTAAAACTAAATCTATTTTTACTATTTTTGGTCGGTGTAAATGCCGGAGAACAAATAAATAGCTATTTAATTTACAAAAATGTCGATAGATCCATTGACTTAACCTCACAATTGGTAAAAATCACCAGTACCATTACTTTAGAAAATGCCGGTAAAGATCCAATAAAAAATTTCCTGGTGGTCGATGAACCGAAATCGGACGGAAAAGTGGTCTACCGAGGAGTCAAAGATTCGGCCAAACAGGATTTGAACCTCTTACCAGTCCAAGTCGATGGCAGCGATAACAAATTCCACAAAGTAGTATTGAGACAGAACCTGGAACCAGGTCGTACTGCAACCGTGGTTTTAGAAGAAATTATAGCCAAAGGCTTGGCACCGTACCCTAGCAGCATCAGTCAGAAAGAAAAGCAGTTAGTCAGGTATTTCGGCAACCATTACATATACACCCCCTACACAGTAGCCAAGCAGAAAACTGACGTCGTTTTAAGCTCTAGAAGCGTCGAAAATTATACGAAATTGAAACCAGTAACACAATCAGATAATACTATTACTTATGGGCCTTATACTGATATTAAACCATATACAGAAGATCAGTTGGTAGTGCATTTTGAGAATAATGCCCCTTTTTTGACTGTGACTCGTTTAGAAAGAGTTATAGAGATTTCTCATTGGGGTAATGTTGCTATTGAGGAACAAATCGAAATCAAACATACAGGTGCTAAATTAAAGGGACCTTTTTCTAGATATGATTACCAAAGAGATACCAGTAGTTCACATCACAGTATCAAATCTTATACTACAGTTTTACCAGCGACAGCTCATAGTATTTACTACAGAGACAGTAATGGTAATATTTCTACTTCATCAGTTAAACATAGGAAAGATTGGATTGAATTGGAATTGAGGCCTAGATTCCCGCTTTTCGGAGGATGGCAAAGCTCGTACACGCTTGGATACAGTGTGCCCAGCTACCAGTACCTTTACCGTACCCCAGAAGGCCAAAATGTCCTCAGCATGAGATTCATTGACCACGTTTTCGACGATATGTTTGTAGAAGAAGCTACCACATCAATTGTATTACCAGTAGGAGTTTCTGATGTACAACTAATCGTCCCTTATCAAGTAGAGAAGCTCCAAGATGACATCACATACAAGTATCTGGATAATATGGGGCGCAAGGTGTTGAGAATGCGAAAGAATGACTTGGTTGAGCAGCACATTCAAGATTTGGAGATTACTTACAGCTGGCAACCACAATTGTTGTTACATGAGCCTCTGTTAATATCTCTAGCACTGTTTATTCTATTTGTAGCTGTAATTATTTGGGTTAGATTAGATTTTTCACTGGGAGTTCCAGAACATAGCAAAAAAGAGTAGATTTTTTTATAAAAAATGTAATAATTGTAAGATTTTTTGTTAAATAAAACCAAACACCCATTGATTCGTAGTTTTATTTTCAATCGCAAATGTACAAAATAAATATTTTCAAATAGGGTTAAATCTGGTCCTCTCGCTGGCTACACCATAATGCCCAATCTCTGTAATTTCATTTATGAAATTATGATCTCAATCATTCTGTAGAATTAAAATCTGTTTTGTTCTTGCTAAAGTATCTATTAAAATCTAATTGGGACAAAAGTTGCAGCAAATGTTGTCCACTAGCCTTCAAGTGCAACTTCTGTAAAATTAATAATAACGATTCGATCACTATGTCACACTGGTTCTGAAACATTTCCAACACGTCCAATTCCACTTCGGTCAATATGGAATCCCACGTGGTGGCTACCAAACAGAACCTGTCGCACAGTTCTAGTAATTTAATTATTATGTTATACACCTAAAAAAAGAGTGTTATTATTATTATAATTTAATAAGAGCAGGGTAGATATTCACTAAGTCATGGGAACGCTCCCATGGGAGTGTTCCCATATATTTTGCTCTCTTACTCTTAGGTGGGTATATCGTGCTTACTCCGACCTAACTATGCATGTACCTGGGCTAAAAGTGAGTAAGCACGATATACCCACCTAAGAGTAAGAGAGCAAAATATATGGGAGCGCTCCCATGACTTAGTGAATAGCTATCATGGGGTCATAAGACCCATAAACCCATATTAATTGAATATAAAACAATATTACTAAAAACTAAATCAATAACAAGTACAACCAATGAATAAACAATGAAACAAATGAAATGTTAATTAAAAAATCATCAAGTTCGTTCTTGAAAACATTGACAGATGCATTTACAACATTCTCCGGTAGAGAATTCCAAGTGTAGAGTATTTGATTAAATAAAAAAATTTGCCTCGTTTTCGTAAAATATTGTTCTTTTTTCAGCTTCTTTATATGGCCACGTAGTCGATTTCACTATCCACGATGAACATACATTTTAAATTTCCAAAATTATATTTTAAAATTCGAAAACAAATTATCATATCACCCCGCGGACGGCGATTTTCAAACGTTTGTAGTTCAGCCATATGTAGTCTCTCTGCGTAATTATGTCTCATACGTCCGAAAAATAGTCTAGTTGATCGGCGCTGCACATTTTCAAGAATATTTTTATCCCGCACTATAGTCTATTTTTATGTGTGAGAGAGTAATAAAACAGCATTTCTAATGCAAAACTTAGTACGGTCATTTTAAATATTTTTACAGAATAATCTAAATATTTCCTAAAATTGTAATAAATGTACCTGAGCTATTACAAGTTTTGGGTCTTTTATTGGTCCTTTATAAACGTAAGCTGTACATAACAATAGAAAAAGGTTTGGACAGGCCAAAAGCCCTGTGTATTAAAGATTACATAGCCGTATCTTAAGATCATTTTCAATAAGTACCTATTTGCCAATTTTGTTTTATTTTAATTCCAAGAATTTCTTACAGTAATCGAATTATAAGTAGATAAATACCTTCCCAACAAATTTCACCGAAAATGCGATTATAGGTTTTCCATTTAGTAAGGAGGTCCAAAAGTTGTGTATTCTTGACAGTTTACTAATAGTATATCATGGAGGAAAGATTATTAAGAGTTGCCGTTTCTTTGTAGAAATTTGGCAACATGTTTGCTTGCAACGACCTGTGGGGTGGAGGAGTAGAACTAATCTTACTCTGTCGGTAATGTAGTTACCAGCAGTATTACCATCAACTCTTAGTCTGTCGGTAATGCAGTTACCCGTAATTTTATATTTAATTTGAAAATTGGCGGGTTTTTTTAAAGGAGAATTTACTTTTGCAATTATTTTCTAACTAATACGAAATATAGCCATACAAAATTTTGATAGTAATTTTTTTAATTTTTTAGTGAAATAAAAAACATGTACGTGTAGCTCAAATATGTTCCTCTGGAGCCACTTTTTCAAAATTTAATTAAATTTTGATGGCAATAAATCGCAAAATTTTGTTTTTATAAAGATTTCAAAAATTGACAAAATAATTAAATCAAATTTCAGAATAGTGGCTCCAGAAAAACAGACATTTCACTTTTACCTGAAGGTATATATTTTTCATTCACTAAAAAGTAAAATTAAACTATAGAAATATGTGTGGCTCTATTTCGTATTGTTTAGAAAAAGATAATTGCTTAAGTAAATTTTCCTCTTAATTATAATTAAAATTTTCCTTTTTTATTAGCTGTTTGTAACAATTATGAAATGCCCAATAAAAATGTAAAATTCTATGACAAATAATTATGAGGGATAAAATAAATATCATCATCAAAGTTTTATATAATTATATTTACTAAAAATTCCCAAGAAAAATAAATAAAAAATATATCAGAGATGGCAATACAAAAAAATATTTTTCATGCACTTCACCCCCATACAAGCGAGCTTATGCGAAGCAAGAATGTCTATTATTATTATTATTTACTATGGCGCTCCCGGACGTCTTATAAATGATTCTTTAAGAAAGTTACTCTAATATCACAAACATTACATTACTATTTCAGTACGTTATCTATCTTTGGCTAACAAAAATCAGAAATTGCATAACAAATAATTAATTTACTTGATATGAAAACTAATGCCTAAGTAAATAAATTTTTAAAATAAACAAAAAACAAAACAACAAATTCTTCTTGAATCTTAGGAAATCAGACAAAAGCAACCATCCATATAAACTGAAACAGAAAAAAATTAAATGCAGTAACTTCAAATCATTTTGTTTGTCTTTTAGACATTGCAGCAGCCCTCATACTATCATTATAATACTTTCTTATTATTAATAGTAGGCAAATTTCAACTAAATGAGAAAAGACGTATGTTTTATGTTCTTTATATGTAAACCAGAGATGGCTTGTGGCCTAGTCTGTGAGGAAGCTGGCTCATCCTATATACTTTATACAAATATATATTTCTATTATGTAATATTTCTGCTTTTTGAATTCTTATAGACATATTTTTATTAAGTATATAGGGTGTGCCTTTTAAAAGTAGTCTCCTCATAGACTAGGCCACGAGTCGCCTCTGATCTAAACCATTTAAAATCAACATGGTCTGGCAAAAAAGTTTAATTTTTTGAATGTTGTCAATATGACCCAAAAGTTGTGAAACTATTTCAAGAATTTTTGAAAGAAATGCAATAACATTTCTTTGTACATAAATAAAACGTCTTTTATCATAATTTTCTTTAAAATAAGTAAAAGTATCGATGGTCTTCTAACATGTCTGTAAATTAACTTTACACTCTTTGCAGTCAAAACTATTAAGTTTCTTAATAAACCCTGCAACATAACTAGTGGCCTGACTCAAATTCTGCTTCATTTTTTAATTTTATATATATTATTAAAATGAACTTTATCCTCACAGGACTCTGTTTGGAGGTGTGATAACAATATTACTAAGTACTACTATCTTTGGTGTATCTGGTTTTGAGGATGCTAAAGCAAGGTAAAGCAAATCTTTTAGCAGTCTTGAACGATTTGTGTTTGTAAACAATTTTGTATCAAAATATGATTTTCTCATAATGTATAATGATTGGGGTTGTAAGTGGAATGTTTAAAATACGACACCATTCCGTTTTTTGATCAATATCAGAAGGAAATTTAAAAATGTTTGTTCTTAAAATTTACGTTTGGAATGGGCCTTATAAAATGTACTATAACCATTAGAAATTCTGCGTTTATAATGAATTCTGCCTAGTAAAGACATGTTAAAGCATCAAAATACCTTTACTTGATTTTAAATAATCCTAAATAACTTATATCTAAAAAAATAAAAGTAGTTCCACTCACATGTTTTCGTCCTTCGTCGACAACGAAATCATGACATAACCACACATTTGTTTGATTTTGATGTTATTTGTTGACAGCGCGCGCGGGGCCCGCTATAGCGGGCAGCCAGCAGTCATGCAGCGGACAGAAAGCCATCTTCACATAGTACAAATAACTAAGTGAAGGTATGTTTTTTTTAGTTTGTTGTAATATATGAATTAAAATTTTTGAAACAACACTTTTTGTGTGTTACTGAACGAGATGTTATTAAATTAATCAATGTGCTTTACATTTTAATACAATTTTGCTATTGTAAAACGGACTTCAGAGCACCCAAGCGCGGAGGAGTATGCGCAGAAACGTGTTTACGTATTGTGCATATGATATAAACCCCCGTGTAGTATATTATGCAACGATCATGTAATGATGGTTATTAATACACGAGCATTAACCGGGATACGAAACGAGCCAAAGGCGAGTTTCGTATGGTTTATGCGAGTGTTTTAATAACCATTACATGAGAGTTGCATACGCTATTTTTTCTACACCCGATAAATAATCAAGACCTATAAATATTCTATTTATATTGGTATTGAACACAATAACAGTAATTACTCGTATTTCTATAAAAAATTCTACAAAATTGTAATTAATGGTATTACCTTGGGTACTGGTATTACCACAGATTTTTGGGGCAAAATATTTTGTACTGCATTTTCTCCTTTCTCCTATATGTGTGGAGGAGTGTTCTATATCGCTGATATCAGACATTTTAATATTATAATTATCGAAGTTTAGCTATCTACGAAAATTTAATACGTTTTGACAACTAAAACAATTACATAGGAATTTAGGACAAACGTCAAACATCATGCTTGATTGAAAAATTGTAGGTTTCTATTGATTAAAAATCTGTATCATAATGGGTATCATTATGAAACGGATTATGGGCATATAAGTGCATTATTATAATACGGGTGTAGAAAAATGTCCTTTGTTTGCAACTTGCAAGGTGCAGTGTGAATTCTAGTATGATCATGGAAAATTTGGAAGGGCCGCGTAAACGACAAAAAATCGGTCCTTTAACAGTTAATGAAAAAACATTAATATTTAATTGTTTTAAATCATTTACAGACAAACATTTATGTAAAAGTGTTGATGACACAGTGGAATTAGTTAGTAGTACGCTTGGTGTTGGGAAATCTACGATTTACAGAGTTGTTAAAGAAGAGAAATGTGGCAAGTTTCAAACAGCACGTAAAGCTCCCGGAAAACCAACATTTCAATTAGAAAATCTTTTGAAAGACTTCGAAGGAAAGTGCATGCGTTCTTCTTTAGAAAAGAATTTCCGACAGTAGACAAAGTTCTTGCCACGGTTCGAGATAATAATAAGGATTACCCTGAAATGAGCCGAAGCACACTATGGAAACTTTTAAAAGAAATAGGTTTTCTATGAAAAAAGCATTCCAGAAAGTGTATTTTAATAGAAAGAAGCGATATTGTAGTATGGAGAAGAAATTACCTAAGGACTATAAAAGAAATGAGAAACCAAAGAAGAAATATATTTTATTTAGATGAAACTTGGATCAACGAGGGACATAAACCAAATAAATTTTGGCAAGATGAAACTGTTACAAGTCGAAAACAGGCTTTTTTTAAATAATTTATCTACTGGTTTAAATCCACCATCAGGAAAGGGGCGCATACTAATAATAGTACACATCGGTAGTTCAAACGGTTTAGTTAAAGGTGGTTTATTGACTTTTGAATCCACTCGTACCGGTGACTACCATGAGGACATTATATAATGCTGATGTCTTTAAAGAGTGGTTCGAACAAATTATAGATCTTCTTCCTCAGAACTGTATAATAGTAATGGATAATGCAAGTTATCACTCGAGACTTATAGAAAAAATGCCCACAACCAAGTGGGTTAAAAAAAGATTTACAGAATTGACTAAATTCAAAAAATATTAAGTTCCATCCCGGTTCTGTGAGAAACGAACTGTATCATTTGTGTTCCCTTCATAAAGAGAAATTAAAAAAATATGAAATTGATGAAATTGCAAAAAATCGTGGGATGACGGTGGTTAGATCACCACCATATCATTGCGAAGTAAACCCGATTGAACTGATATGGGCACAGATAAAGGGAGAAGTTTCAAGAAAAAATAATTCTTTTAAAATGAGTGATGTTAAACAGTTGTTTTTGGAGGCTGTAAATAATGTGAAGCCTGAAAACTGGGAAAAGGCAGTAAATTATACTATTAAAGAAGAAGAGAAAATGTGGAAGTTGGACAATATTACTGATGAAATGATCGAGCCACTCATTGTAAATATTGGTTGCGACAGTTCATCTTCTGATTTCGATTCTGATTTGGATTTGTAGGTAAGAAGTAGTTTTTATATTAAAATTATTATTTATGAACGTAACGTTGTTTAAAAGTCAGAGTTTAAACCCTTATACCTACATAACCCGTTTGACACAATGTTCTTAACATACCTTGTGGAAAAATAAAACATTTTAGAAAAAATTGCACTTTTTTACCTTCAGCTGTTTAGAAGTTATAAGCAGGTTAATTAGGTGAAAATAACTCGAGGAATAACTTCAAAAAATGTTTTAACGGTCTACTAAAATAAGTGATACGCCTATGGATTACGAACGCTTTATTATTTTAATACTCTCTCATACATAAAAATAGACTATAGTTCCGGACACCACACAGCTCCGCAGTACTCGATGATCGAACGAATGTATAATTTATACAGCCGGATCGAATTTTGAAAAGACACTTTTGCGAATGTTTTCTTTAATAAGTACATTTTCGTGTTCACCTTTTTTGACACTTGAAGAACGTGCTCAGACCAGCTGAGATTTTCAGTAATTATAACACCTAGATCATTGTAAGATTTAACTTTATTTAACGTATGACCGTTTAGAAAATAATTATGACGAGGATTATTTTTACCAGTATGGAGAACTACACTTTTATTTGTATTTAGAGGTAGCATCCAATCTGAGCACCAGTTATAGATGGAGTCAAAGTCATCTTGAAGCTGTTGGAAGTTCAAAGACGGGTCACTAAATATTTTAGTGTCATCTGCGTAAAAAATATTGTTGCACTTGATATGGAATTGAAGGTCACTGGCATATATTATAAATAAGAGTGGACCCAGAACTGTTCCCTGAGGAACCCCACTCAAGACTGGTCTTTCAAGTGAATGGGAATTTCAAACTTTAACACAGTACTTTCTATCAGTTAAGAATGACTCGATCCATTTAAGTAAATCACCACGTAAACCAAGGTGTTCTAACTTATGTATCAATCTTCGTTTCGGCACACGATCGAAAGCTGTCGCAAAATCCGGGTAAATAATGTCTATAGGTTTTTTCCTGTCTAATGAAACTGTCCACTTATTTACACACCAAAGCAAATTGGTCATGGTTGATCGCCCTTTTACAAATCCATGTTGCTGAGAAGCTCTGTTATTATGGATTCCATAACTTCACAGATTATGGGTGTGAGGCTGATTGGGCGGTAGTTTTTAGAATCTAGTTTGTTTCCTATCTTGAAAATGGGTGTTACAGAAGCTGTTTTCCAGATAGAGGGTAATGTGTGTGTATTAAAAGACAAAGACATTATAATAGATAAAGGAACTGATATGGTATTAGAGCATTTTTTTACTTTCCTATCTGTATACAGATATAAGGAAAGTATAGGAATCATGATTTTTTTCGACCTCGAGTTTTCGACGGATTTTTACGTTTTGAGGTCCCCTGAATCCGTTTTGACTATTTTCGCGATGATGTCTGTGTGTGTGTGTGTGTGTGTCTGTATAACGCATAACTCATGAACCGATACACGGAAAAACACCAAATTTTAAACTTAAGCTTTGTTCCAACGTCTAATGAGCTGATTAGATTTTGGGCAGAGTCGGAACATCTGGGGGGGTACTTTATAGGTGGTCATTTTTATATTTTATGGAATATATCTGTTATTTACGTTTGGGGAAGAAAATTTTTCAAATGAAAGTTACTTCTTATTTTATTATCTATAATTTTTGTTATATACAAAATTTTCCTAAAATGGTCCGTATTCGCGAAATTTGACAAAATGTAAAAAAATATTTTTTTCTATAAAAATTGTTCAAACAAAAGTTGTTTGTAATATAATTCTCTATAATTCTTATCCTATAGATAATTTCTCTAAAATGGACCGTATTCGAGATATTTGAGAAAATGTGTAAATTTCGAAATTTGAAGAAAACTCAAAAATGGATAAAGAAAAAAACATTAAATTTTAAACTTAAGTTTTATTTCGGCCTGACGTGAAATGATTAGATTTTGGACAAAGTCGGAACATCTGGGGGGGTACTTTATGGGAGGCCGTTTTTATATTTTATGGAATATATCTGTTATTTATGTTTGAAGAAAAAAATTGTTTAAATAAAAGTTACTTCTAATATTATTATCTATAATTTTTGCTTTATGTAAAAATTTCCTGAAATGGTCCGTATTCGAAAAATTTGACAAAATGTGCAAAATTCTGATTTTTATGAAAATTGTTGAAATAAAAGTTGTTTGCGATATCGATCTCTATAATATTTGTTTATACATGATTTTTTTAAAATGGACCGTAATGGAAAAATTGTAGGAAAAGTGCTAAATTTAAATTTTTCAGTATTTTCATTTTCAATGAATATCTATAGAAAAATGTTTCGCGGTAGATGTATGTGGACAATGTATATATTTAGTTTATCCTCTAAACATTTATAGAGATGCTGCAATAGATTGTACAAAATAACCGGAAAAAGCCTGTAATACCTAGATAGGAAAGTCATGTGTTGGACACATCAGATTTTTAAAAATAGAGAAGATATTTGATCTAGACCCGGAGAGGAGTTGTTTTTTAATTTTAAAAGGTGATGTTTGACAATTTCAGGAGTAAAATTGAGACGTTCTAAGGAAGAAGGGATTCTTTCGGGTGAGATATCTGGTAACTGATCCTGGGGAGGTTCATTGGTGAAAACTTTTGTAAAGGTATTAGCTAAAAGTTCAGCCGTTCCGAAATTATTTTGGTAGGAACTTCCATCTTTTTTGTTTAGTAAAGGAATGGATACTTTTGATGACAGTGAAGATCTAATATATTTGTATAATTTTTTACAGTTTTGGCTGCAATGCTATCGACTCTTCATATTCTTCTCGGGCCTCATTTATAAATTTCTTTAGGTCCTTGGAAAAATTTTTGTGATATTCTAGATCGACAATATTATTTGATCGCTTATATTTACGCCATAATTTACTTTTATGTCTAATCAAGGATATTAGTTCTCCGTTGATCCACGGTTTTAATTTATTTTTGTAAAACACCTTCTTTTTAGAGTATTGGATTTTATGAGTAGCAATAACGGTTGCGCGAACTTATTCCATACTTCTGCCGGATCTCCCGAATCACCCAATGTTTCTATCCAGTCGATGGTAGATAAATGACGATTTAAGTTGTCGAAATCGATGATTTTATATGATGTAGTATGATCTTTGTGAGATGGGTTCTCTATTAAACTGTATACGACTTATGATGACTGCATGATCCGATATTCCTATCGGAGATTGAATGATAGGGTCAGTTAACAATTGTTTATCATTTACAAATAACAAATCTAGCGTGGAAGGAATATTATTGACTCGGAATCGTGTTGGATCTGTTACAAGTTGGTGTACATTAGAGCTTAGAACAAAGTTCAAAAATTTATTTTTTGAATTTACAACATCACTTGGAGTGAGAGTAACTGGCCACGAAATATCTCGGAAATTGAAATCACCAATAATAATATTTTCTAGTGAAGACAGATATTCAAGTTTTTCAATAAGGATCATGTCTTCAGCTAGTTGAGAGTCTCCGGGACGATAAATACAGGCTAAATGAAGAGTAATAGAGCTAGAATAAATTTTTAAACCTAATAATTCCATATTAGGGACACTAATGTCAAGAGGAGTAACAAAAAAATGTTATGGAATATACGATAGAAGTGAAACTTCTTAGATGAATTCGATCTGAAATAAATTATTTAAATTTACTGGAATTTATTTTAATTTACTTGAATTTATTTAAATGTGTCATTTTTTATCAATTCATTCCTCATATTGTTCATATCAAGGCGAGCCATAAAAAGTTTCACTTCAAACACTTTACCTAAATGAGAGATTATACTGATTTTTATAAAAATCTTACCTTGCTAGGTATTTCATATTGTATGGCTGGTACTTGATATAATCTGTGCTTATTCTTACAAGTATGTTCCTAAAAGTTAATAAACACCATCAATTTTAAACGTATAGACAAATAAAATTAAAAAATACTACAAAACAGAAAAAATCCATTTCATACAAAGTAATCAAATTACAGTAGTAAGTTCAAGTTTCATATAATAATGTTCTATTACTAGTTTTTGATCAAACATTAAAGTTTAAGCAGTTCCGGTCAATTTATTAGACCATTCAACAACTTAAACAAGAATAGCAAGTCCGCATCATGCCTTCGTTTTTCAAGAGAGTGAAGATTGGTTATTTTAGGTGGGGCAAACGCGGGGAGATATAAAATGGGCGAAGCACATGACGAGAACCTAAAATAAGTGTGGCAAACGAGAAGTCCTAAGTAACATGGGCGGAGCAAATAACGAAAACCTAAAATAGGCGGGGCAAGATTTAGAGTGGGAAAAGTACCGTATAAATGTGCTAGGCGTTACTTAATTGCTGTTATACGTTTTTGATCAAATAATATAAAACTTAAAGAGCAAAATTGAGCAGTTTTATTTATTAAAAAAACACGAAACCGTGTTATATCTTTGAAACAAAGTTAAATATACATTTAAAATCAACAAGCAAAACTAACTTTTAAACGTTACAAAACAAAAGGATGAAAGTAGGTGGAGCAAACGAGAGGAAGTGTGGTAAAATGGGCGGAGCAAGTCACGATAAACCTAAAATGGGCGGGACAATTTGCACAGAGTATGAAAGTAGGTGGAGCAAACGAGAATGTGATAAGGTAGGCAAAGCAAAAAATGAGAATGTAAAATGGGCGGGGCAGTTAACCGAAGGCAAACAAAACAATGGAGAATGAAAGTAGGTGGAGCAAACGAGAGGGAGGTGAGATAAGGTGAGCAGAGTCAATAACGAGGACATAAAAAGGGCACGGAAATTGGGAGCAAACAAAACAAGGGATGAAAGTAGGTGAAGCAAACGTGAGGAAGTGTGATAAGGTGGGCGGAGCGAATAACGAGAACCTAAAAAGGGCACGGCAATTAATTGAGAGCAAACAAAACAAGGGATGAAAGTAGGTGGAGCAAAAGAAAATGTGGTAAGGTAGGAGAGCAAAAAATGAGAATCTAAAATGGACGGGGAAATTAACCAAAGGCAAACAAAATAATAGAAGATGAAAGTAGGTAAAGCAAACACGAAGGAGTGTGATAAGGTGGGCGGAGCCAGGACACGGCAATTAATTGAGAGCAAACAAAACAAGAGATGAAAGTAGGTGAAGCAAACGAGAAGAAATTTGATAAGGCAGGCGGAGCAAATTAAATGAACCTAGAATGGGGTGGGATAGGATTTATTGTAAAAAATGTACAGATGTAAAATTGTTATAATAATTTTTACCTCGTCGGGTGTAGACACGAACGTTTTGGCCAACAAATTAGAAATAAATTCGTGATGAACTTTTATTATATCTTCAAATCCGTTGGCGTTTTCCACAGCTTTTAACAACAAAGAAAATTGCGCTTCTATAACATCAACTTGCAAATAATAATGGAGATTGTTTACTAAAAACATTAGGTTCTGTCTCAACGTCCAAACTCTCGTGTCTCTAAAATAAATTAACAATTTAAATGATGCTAAAGATAAAGAAAAAATATCGGTATTGCTTACATTTTTCTTTTACTCGATACGTGTTCGGCCCAAAGTTTGTGCAAATCTAAATGTGTTTTTCGCAGCCTTAACAGATAACAGAATAGTTTATTGTAAAGTTCTATAACTTTCGGATGGAAAACTATGTGTAGTGGCCAATCGATTTCGAAATTTAATTGCAATCTCGACCAAAGATTTGCACCTAAAAAATGTTTTTTATTTTTTAATCTAGATAATTTCAAGTAGAAGGAAAATAAGAGAATTAAATAGGGCAGTCACTGACTCCTAATCATCCACTCTTCTCTTTAAAACATTTCATTTCAGTTTTCCAAATTTATGAAGAAATTTCTTGCACTATTTTTTTTTTGAGCAGTTATCGATTTTTTCGGTTTTTACAGGGTATACATACGAATATATTAGCTTATACAGTCTTATCTAGTTATTTTACGGTATCAAATCTTTTTTAGAAAAATAGTGCAGGAAAAAACGTTTTTTTTTTAATTTCGATACTTTCAAGTAGAGGGCAAATGGGAGAAACAAATTGAGCCGTCCCTGGCCCCTAATAACCTGCTCTTCTCTTTAAAACATTTCGCTTAAATTTTCCAATTTTATGAAGAAATTTCCTGCATTATATTTCTATTGAGCAGTTATCGATTATTTTTTTTTTCTTCTAATTTTACAGGGTAAACATATGAGTATATTAGCTTATATAGTCTTATCTAGTTATTTTACGGTGAAATCAATTTTTTTTAGAAAAATAGTGCAGAAAAAAAAAGTTGTTTTTTTTTAATCATGATACTTTCAAGTAGAGGGCAAATGGGAGAAAGAAATCAGGCGGTCACTTACCCTAAATCACCCGCTCTTCTCTTTAAAACATTTCATTTAAGTTTTCCAATTTTATGAAGAAATTTCCTGCACTATTTTTTTATTAAGCAGTTATCGATTTTTACAGGGTATACATACGAGTATATTAGTTTATACAGTCTTATCTAGTTATTATACGGTGATATCAATTTTTTTTAGAATAGTACAGGAAAAAAAACGTTTTTTTAAATCTCGATACTTTCAAGTAGAAGGTAAATGGAAGAACAAAATCGGACAGTCACTGACTCCTAATCATCCAATCCTCTCTTTAAAACATTTCAATTTCAGTTTTCCAATTTTATGAAGAAATTTCCTGTACTATTTTTTTATTGAAGTTATCGACTTTTTTCGGATTTTACAGGGTATACATACGAATATATTAGCTTATACAGTCTTATCTAGTTATTATACGGTGATATCAAATTTTTTTTAGAATAATAGTACAGGAAAAAAACATTTTTTTAAATCTCGATACTTTCAAGAAGGTAAATGGGAAAACAAAATCGGACAGTCACTGACTCCTAGTCATTAACTCCTCTCTTTACTTCAGTTTTCCAATTTTATGAAAAAATTTCCTGCACTATTTTTTTATCAAGCAGTTATCGATTTTTTTCGGTTTTTACAGAGTATACATACGAGTATATTAGCTTATACAGTCTTATCTAGTTATTATACGGTGATATCAAATTTTTTTTAGAAAAATAGTACAGGAAAAAAAACGTTTTTTTTTTTTAATCTCGATACTTTCAAGTAGAAGGCAAATGGGAGAACAAAAGCGGACAGACACTAACTCCTAATCATCCACTCCTCTCTTTAAAACATTTCACTTCAGTTTTCCAATTTTATGAAGAAATTTCCTGCACTATTTTTTTATTGAGCAGTTATCAATTTTTTCGGTTTTTACAGGGTATACATACGAGTATATTAGCTTATACAGTCTTATCTAGTTATTATACGGTGATATCAAATTTTTTTTTAGAAAAATAGTACAGGAAAAAAAAAACGTTTTTTTTTTTTTAATCTCGATGCTTTCAAGTAGAAGGCAAATGGGAGAAAGAAATCGGACAGTCACTGACCCCTACTCACCCGCTTTTCTCTTTAAAACAATTCGCTTCAATTTTATGAGGAAATTTCCCGCACTATTTTTTATTACGTAGTATTTATTCATTATTTTTTCGAATGTTATAGGGTATACATCACTGATCTTTAGTATACATTAATTTACAAGTCTTATCTGGTTTTTCGACGCTGAAACAAATTTTTAGAAAAATAGTGCGGGAAAATTTCAAAAAATTGGAAAACTCGAAGATACGTTATTTCGACTTACGGGCGACTTCCGAGCTGGAACTGAGCTCGAACTTCAGATAAGTCTTGTCGTTTTCTCCGTATATTTTCCGGGCGGTCTCGCGAAATATGAAATTCAAATTTTGCACAATCAATTCGATCGAAGTGTCTTTCAAGTGGTCTTCGGCCACTCGAATGAACTGTTGAAACAACTCGCCTCTTCCCAAAGCGTAATAGTCTCGTATGAGATGCAAATGGGCTATTAGATTGCCTTCGTCTAACATTATTGACCACAAGTACTGAAAAATAATCATTTAAGTATATAGTGTGTCTGAAAAAGTTGGCAAAAAATTGGAAATGTATTTATTATTCTTCATAAACAGTTCTGCTAAACATTAAAATCAATAATCAAGAAGCAAATTTGTAAAATATTTAGTGGTAATACAGGGAAAATCAAAATAATTGATTTACAGAACAAAATGTCATTTGAAAATGTTGCCAATTTAAGTTTTTTGAAAAAAATTACTTTCTTTACTATTGTAACTTCCACCTGAATAAAGATTTTAAAAACTTTTGAGTCCAGAGTCGTTCCAATTCACTTTATAACTAGGTAAAAATGCTGTGACATTTTTTAGGAAATTTGACGTTTGACTTTAAATTAGTTCTCATGTACGAAGCAAAAACTCTTAATATTTTTAATATTGTACCTTTGTTAATTTGACTTTACACTCTTCGATAGTCCTTTGGAATTCTATATTATTGAAAGGTTTAGATTCCAGAGCTTGGACTTTTTTGTAGTACTCAATATCTTTGCCCTCCCAAATATCACGCTTGTATTCGATTTGATAATTCTCATCTTTGGTCTTCCTGGGGTCGTTTCTAATAATCCACACGATCCTTCCCATAAATAGGATACTTTCGGATAAATCCTCGCTAATGAACAACGGAACCATTTCCCAATGAATAAAGAATTTTCTTACCGTTGGGGGTCTTCTAATTTTACGTTTCTAACAAAATAATATTATTAAAGGTCTCAAAATTGCGTAGTACATAATGTATATTGACTTTAATAAAATAGTCCAATCATTATGTTTGAAAAACAGGGTTCTATTAATATAAATATCTCCATATTGGATTTGCTACAAAAGAAAGTAATAATACAATCTTTTAAACATAATATTATATATAGTCCAATAACTGAAGGGTCAAACCTGTAGAAAATTCGCTGATGAGTTCCCACATAGCGCAATTTGTAGGTCATCGCAGGTGTTTTTGAAACGAGAAAATCCTTAACGCGTTCTTGATACCGGCATGGGCTGAAAATGGACCCCTAAAACCTGGAAAATGGGTTTCCCGCTAATATCTGACTGAATATGCCAATTAGAGAATTTTTGTTTAGACAAAAAATGAAGATCAGCTCATTATCTACAAAAATGGCCCTTATCATTTTCTTCGAAAATTCAATAGTTTTCGAGATAATGGCACTCAAAAGTCCCCTCATTTCAGCTGCTGCTCTCTACCTGCAGGAATTCCGCTTTCTATGAATTAACGTGTAAGCGGGCGGACGAATTGTTCCATATCTCGGGAAAAAAATGATATTTTTCGATGATTCAAGGTTCATAGCAATGGGAAAACCCGTAGCTACAATTCCATGTGACTTGAAGTCAGTTCGTATTTGCCAAAAATATTTAAAAAGCGGTCAAAGTTTTTTTCAACAATATTTAGAGACTGCTTCATTAATTTATTCATATTTTCTTTAAAAATAGTCATTTATTCTAATTTTGCCTTTATAATGGGACCTTGGGGAGTCTTGAATGATCTCAGAAATTTTTTTGTAATACTTTTCTTGCGTTTTAATACAAAATTAATTTGTTTATTTACATGTTTTAGCTGATTTCGAAGTTCCATAGAATCTTCGGAACAAGCGCGAATTATAATCTTATGATCCGTTATATTGGTTTCCAATGCACAACATTTTAAAGCTTGGATGGTCTACTTTTCGAATATATTTTTTTATTTATAATAGAGTATATTAATTTTCAAGAAATGAGGAAAATTGATCACACGAGTGAAAACCGGCCTTTTTTTGTTTAACCATTTTGTAACAACCACCGTCACTTAGAAAGTAACTAAATAATAATGTAGTGGCCAAAAGGACTCTAGTCATCAACGGGGGGTATACACTGTAAGTGTAAAGGCAGCCTGTCACCAGCCACAGTCAGGGGATAAGGTCCTTAGAGCTTATTCACTCTCACCGTGACAAAAAAAGTAAAAAAGAAAAAATAAAATAATAGGTTTAAAATAAAAAGAATTTTCCCCGTGATGAATAGAGCGAGCGGATTAAGGAAATGGTTTGGCAAACTGACAATAGGCACCTATAGTCCTTACTCGGGAGTAGGTTCGCCGGGGCTTCGCAAAAGTGCCCGGAGTGTCTTTTGACAAAAGGGGAAGGTAGACCTGATGAAATCGAATATATTTTGGTTAAAGAATAAAAAAAAACATCTAAATAATTATTCAGTTATCCAACTCTGGACTTTGTCAGATAGCTTATCTGAACTAGGGGTTGTCCCTCTTTATAGAACTCGGGCAGAACTCAAAAACTCTTAACACACATAAGATAAAACCAGGTGAACGTTTAACAACTTAATATATTTAGCTCAATATATTTAAACATGTAACAAATTTTAATCATAGACAAAAAAAAACGATCAAGTAATACAATATGTTTGGAGGTACAAGATCCACCCTGAGGTTCTCGCCTGATTCGGTAAATCAGTCAACGATAACAAAATACCGATAAATAATGTAAGAATAGATAGCAAAAAAAATGTCAGAAATCCCGTTGGATCTTGTAGCTACCAAAGTCAAAAAAATAAACTATATCACTTCCTATTAAAATCTACGATGAGAGGTAACAAAATAACTTGGCAAAATGAAAAAAAGAGAGAACTGTCACAATTTTAATGTAGTGAAAGAGGAAGGCTTACCTTGCTCGAAACGTAGTTTCGATTTCACTAAGTTTAAATTGATTGGCTGATATTTATTATTAAATCACAATTTAAAAAAATTACTTTATGATTCCCGATATACGATTTATCGGCGTCGATGGGTAGTCGGACAGCGTAACGTCCGGCCCACTCAGTAACTGTCCTTTTCCCTCGTTCCCACATCATTTTTATATTGATTGAGACGTGCTTTCTTTGAAATTTTTGGTCAACTCATATATTTAATTTACTTTGATATTATAGTAACTGTTTACTATTTCTAAGGTCAAATGAAGAAAGGTACTTGAAAATTTATATGAGATTTTTATGTAAAAATCTTTAGATTAATTAAAATAATTGCCAAATTATTACAATTTCTTGTTATAGTCCTTCCATTATCAATTGCAGAACACAGTTATGTGGGGAATCATCAATATTTAATATATACGCACGGCACTCATGCCAAATTTAGAAACGAAAAATAATGTTTACTCCCCTTATACAATGCGGTAAATATTAAACAAACGGTCAGTCCACGTGTACTTGATATATATGTGTCAAAATCCATCATCTCCGTTGTTTACCAATGAAAACATCGAATCGTAAACTTAAATGCACTGTATTGGCCGAAGGTTTACGGAGGGCAGGAGTGTTCGAAAATATTCCTGGAAGACAGTCTGCGATATCAGTGGAGTACTGTCGTGCGGTGTGTTTTGTATGTGTGGTTGGTTTAATTTTAATTTCTTTTAATAAATATAAATATGGCGTTCTTTAGACCGTGGTCGAATGAAGAAAATGAAATTGCACAGTGTAGTGAGATTAAAGACAGGTATGACTTTAACAATAAGGATTTAGATATACAAACACAACAAGTTATTTTAAATATATTCGAATGTTTAAAAAAGGAAAATAATCAGCAGTCTGATAATGCGATCATAATAAGAATTGCTGAATTAACTAAAGTAAATAAATTTTCCATTTATCGGGTAGTCACAAAAGGGGTTGGTGTGGATCATTCACAAAACCGAAAAACATGTAAAGAAAAACTGAAATCAGTTGACAGAGCTACCCAAGATTTTATACGGAGGACAATTTATAGTTTATATAAGGAGAACAGGGTTCCAACATTGGAAGTAATACAGTAAAAGGTAGCAGTTTTTCCAGGATACACTTATTCTCTCCGTGCGAAGTCATGGAATAGGAAGCAAATGCGATACTAGCGCTAGCTGCGGATAATTCGTGCATTTTAGGGTGATATTTTGTAATTTTGGCATATCAAATACACGTATACACTACTTTTTTTCAAAAAAGTAGGTAAAAACAATACAATAAGCAACCGGAGTTGCTGTTATTCACCACGCTCTAAAAGTTGTCATTTGCTTTTAGCCAAAACAACGGGATTCAAGACCTTGGCACAAGGAAAAATAAATTTTTGCAATTTTCTGGTAAATTTGCAACTCAAATTGCACAGAACATTCGCTAATACAATTAGGAGAGCCCAAGCGCTACTTTGCAGAAAAAAATCAGGTGAAATCGCCAATAATTGTCGAATATTCGATTATTTCCGAGATTTTCATTTACAGACTCCGTAATTTAGCGAGAAGAGCAAAGGTGCTGGCGCCATCTGCAATTGGTCCTCTAAAGTCCAAAAGATGAAGATCAATGCATTTCCAATCCCATCGAGCGGAAATTCGGCAAGAAACTATCATATCTATTCAATATGAAAATTATGGATTTTTCGAAGTCTGATTTTGCAAAAAATATTGGCATTGTGAAAAAATTGGTAGGGATCATTTTTGTAGAGAATGAGCTGATCTTCATTTTTTGTCGGAACAAAAATTCTCTAATTGGCATATTTAGCCAGATATTAGCGGGAAACCTGTTTTTCAGAGTTTAAGGGTCCATTTTCAGCCCCATTTACTGGATTAATAGTGCATTGAATTACTGATAAAATTAGCTTTCAAATGAAGTATCACACTTTAGAATAAGTAACAGTTTTTTATCCCGCTAGAGGGCGTTAAAATGAAAAGTAAAGCAATGAACAGTCATATTGCTAAATTTCACATTTGCAGTGATGTGTCATTCTTGATACTTTCTCTATTTAAATTGTATTGAAGGGGAGAGGATTGACATATGACAATTATCAAAATCAATATAAATTGAGTCATAATATGGCCAGTTGCTACCCTTAATGAATCACCCTGTATATGAAAGCGCAAGAAATTGTCAAACATCAAAAGAGAAGAAAATTTAATTTTGTTGAATTTTAACATACCAAAACTTGACTTAGTTTTTTTTTAACTTAATCTCCTTCTAGATTTTAAATGTTTTTTTTTTCTTCTTAAATTCTAAATTAAAATACAATTACATTGTGTTTTATTTAATATTTGTTTAAATGTCTTTAAAAAATTCTTAGCAAATAGAATATTTAATAGATATTTGTATTAGAACGTTTAGAGATAAAGACCGATATGGCACTTCTATATAATGGTCAATACCGATATCAGCCAAAAAAAGCTGATATATTGATACCGATATAGGTCGATCCCTACTATTGTTTATCTTTTTTATTTTTATTGCACTTTGGTACACTTGTTTCTGTGTTGCATCTCAAAAAATATGTTTTATTTTACAAAAATTTACAGAATAGTAGACACATGTCAAAATATGACAAATGTGATGCATAAAGAACAGACAATTCGATAAACTTTAAAAAAGAAATTAACAACCTCTAATAATTGTAGGAAGTAATTTAGAGCACTTTTACACATGAAAAGTATAAGATTTTATTACATTTGCTAATATAAATTAAATACTGGTGCTTTTTGAGTTTTGTCACTTTTAAAGAGGGAGTGACATGTCATGGCTTTTGCTATACCTGTCAATTTATAAAACCTCATAATTTTTTCTACATTTAGCAACAGCAATGCAACGAACGCTGTCCTGTTGTGTTTGTCAGGAAAAGTAAGTACTGATTGCACTACAAAGTACCTACATCAATGGTGTTTGAGAAATTACCTGTAAATTAATAATAGAAACATCAGAATGTAGTTCTGCAATTTGTTCAGGATACAGAAAATTCTCATCAGCAGATTTACCATCTCTGATAAAAAATTCTTCAAAAACATCAACTAGATCCCCATAGATAATCCAATTGCACAAATGTTTATAGAAAACTGTGTTTATTGATCTAATTATTCTAAAATAAAAGCCCAATGCATGATTTTATACTGAAAAAATACACAACAAGTGACAGGTACTCACTCGCTTGCTGCTAAACTGATTTGATCAACTCCGCAATTAACATATTTATGTAATCTTCCAATCAACAAACAACCATGTACATTGTCATTTTGAATAGTATGAATCATGGATATTAGAGTTTGAAATAGTGTCCTATATTTCTCGACCTTGCAAAGAATAAACGTTAGAGATAGTTGTGGATTCTGTAAAAACATTTCTTCTAAAGCAATGTTTTCTTTCCTATAAGCATCTAAAACTTTATGAACTCCCGAACAAAAAGCTGTTATGTAAAACCCGAATGATGTATTATCTTGCGTATTAGATGGGACTGTAGATACATTTTTAGCAGCTAAAATAAGATGATTGAAAAATTTATAGGAACATTTTTTAAAAATATAAATACCTTGAAAATTTGGAACTTGATTTAGAATTCTTTTATTAAAAGCGTTTATCTGATGGTAGTCGATTGCTATTTCGACTATAGTTTGCAACAACTTTTGCTCTCCTGGATGCAAGAATTCTTGCAATTCAAACAGTCTAGTCCACTAAAAAACAAATCGTTAGATATAATTAAAAACTTACAAATATTCTGTATTTACGTTATAAGTTTCGGACAGATTTTCTCCATCTGGAGAGTTGCACAAATTAAACAAACATTCGTGTATCATTTTGTATTTTAGATTTAATAAAATTTGTATTAAAATGTTCAATTTTTGTATTTAAAAATGTTTATTAGATACGTCAACGTCAAAATAGGTTTTTTCATTTTTCATTCGCTGTAGGTGTAGTGTACACCAGTGTAAATTACACCAGTTACACGAGGTTCTTTCGTTCGCTATTGGTGAAGTGTACACCAGTGTAAATTACACCAGTTACACCACTTTATTTACCTTAGTTTACTTCCCTCCTTATTCCTTATATACATGTCGAGTGTAATTCACTCCTGCTAAATAGCTGGTGGAGAAAATATCCACCAGTGGATACCACCGACAGGAAGGTTTAGTGGATTTTACACCGGGCCGAACGAAAGGTTTAGTGTACGTTGGTGTAGTTCATTCCTACACCAGTGGGACGAACGAAAGAACCTATTACCTCAATCCACAAGCTGGTGGATCAGACAATAACAAAGTGAAATAGAAAATGGTTGTTATAAATACTCCCGAGTGAGATGAAAAATAACCTGTCTTCGCCCATAGAGTCGCATCTCAAGCCTATTGACAAGCATTCTACCCCACTCCAGTTCATTGGTCCGACTCAGGTAAGTTCTGTTTATAAGATCTTTTCCTTTGCATCGAAAGTGTAGCGCTGAGCTACGTCACTTCTGAAAATATCGTTCTATCCATACAATTTGTATAAACGGAACGATATTTTCAGAAGTGCTGTAGCTCAGTGCTACACTTTCGATGCAAAGGAAAAGACCTATTAAGACATGCCTAAATACTTTGATTTTTAATTAAAGTATATGAAACTGTAAATAAAGGTGGTGTTACTGGTGCAATTTACACTGATGGACACTGCACCAACAGCGAATGAAAGAACCTCTTATTTCACGTCTTCTGTCAGTTGTCAACTAGGCATTTTTTTTCTTTCACAAAGCAGTGTTTCTGTCGGTTACTACCGTATCCAAATACATTTTTTTAAGTTAAAAATTTACACAATAATTTAAACATAATTTAGTTACACTTTCTCATATCGACGAAAATAAGTTATACGCTTAATTACATTTTGTTGCATTTAAAACTCGAATATAGTAAAAATACTGATAAAAGCCAGTTCAATGTTAAACCTGGTTATAATCAGGTTATCGTAGAACGACAGAACAGTATATATTGACAGTTGAAAGAAATTAAGCTAATTTCACATTATCGAAAGTATTTGGATCGAGCAAATCGCAAAGAAACATCCCTTCGTGTTATTGGATGATAATAATCCGTTTTTGGTAAGGGTGATAATTTAACCGACGCTTAATGGTTTTATCGTTGGTTGCTGGTTGTTTGTGTTTTGTGGTTTCCTGTAAATGGAAGTTCTGATTTGTGATAACCGCGTATGTTTTGCACTAAGAAAAAACAACTGTTGTATTAAATTTTCCTTTCTAATTACTGCATAATCGCTCTAAAATAATTAAACTAAGCCATGACGAACTGATAAACGCATTTAATTATTTTTTTTTTTGCAATTTTTGACCAAAAGTAGGTAATATTTATTTGGTTTATACAAGAGTGGTTTTAACTTTTTAAATGGTGGAATTTGCAATTAATTGGGCGGTGAGTTCGATTATTCTTCCCCAAGGAAATGACCGACAACACGGATGAGCTGAAGGTAAGATTTCACTTTTATTAACCCCCAAAATTAATTGTTCTTTCAGCCAGAGAATCATCTTGTAGTCATTAGAATATCCGCAAATTTGCTTATACAGTATTATCTCACATACGGTAAAATTGTTTTTATAATTCGAACTTTGTTGATAATTTTGAAATGTATAGGGGAGGTTTAAAATTTACCTCATTTTCGGGGAGGTCCAAAAGTTTCCCCATTTTTATTACGAATATTTCCAGAATATGCTAGTTACTTTCCGGGTGTCGGAACTGCAGATGTTATTAGGTTTTGCTGGCAGAAACAAGTCAGGAAGAAAAACAGAACTGCAACAAAGAGCTCTAGAGCTCCTCAGAGTCAGGTCTCACCCCATTCATCAGAAAATCAGAGATTTATACAAGACTATACAGTAAGTTTTTTATTTGGTTGTGGGTTTGTTTTCTAACTAAATAAATGTAACAGGCAAAGTGGAGCTCTGACTGGAGTACAACCTCCAAGTACCTCTCCCCCAAGTCAGGATCTACAAGGAGCTCCTGTAAACAATATGCCTCAAACGCAGGGTGGTATGAATAGGAATGCGGCCACTGTCCATCCATTTAGTGTAGATGGCAGACAAATGGTAAGTTTCTTACAGGTTTATACATTTTAATTTTGTATTTGATGATATGAATAAGTTAAAACATATTAAGATGCTATATAACAACAAATATATGCAAATTCTCTATCATGCTTTTAGCCCTATTATTAAATGTTTTTGAACAATATGGTATTGTGTTAATTATCTACTTCAAAGAAAATATGGTTAAAATAAAAGATATGCTAAGTGATCAGAATAACTAAAAATAGGTGTCCCCCAAGGAACTGTTTTTAAACCAATTCTGTTCTTAGTTTATATAAACCCTTTATTAAAGACAAATATTAATGGAACAATGATTTCATATGCAAATGACATTGTTATAATTTTTAGTGATCACACTTGAAAAGATGTAAAGGTCAAAGCTTAATTGGGCATAAGTAGAGTTAAAAATTGGTTAGATTTTTTGAAAACCTTCCTTAAATGTAAGCAAAACTATGTTTATAGCATTTTCAATAAAAAATTTAAATCAACCGAATTTTAACCTTACACATAATCACTTAACTTTAAAATAAATATATCTGAAGAAACAAAATATTTAGGAATTATAATTGATCAAAATCTCAAATGGATGATCGAATACAATCTCTTATAACCAAATTACAAAGATTTATATACACATTTTATGAAATGAGAAAGTTTATGAACAGCAAACAGCTAATAATTATTTATAAATCACTAATAGAGTCAATCCTTCAATATGGGATAATTATTGTTTGGGGGGATTTATATGATACAACCGTACAGCCTCTCAAAGATATATAAAATCGCATTGTCAAAATTATCTAGAAAAAAAACATCACTTTACCCTACAGCTCTCCTGTACAATAATGAAATCCTAAATATAAGAACACTCTACTCATACTTATGTTGTATTTTCATATATAAAAAAACTAAATTTAAGAACTATTACTACACATCTCCACAACACAACAGCCTTGATGACACCACTATGTCAATGTGACGCTAGTCAATGATTTGTAACTACAGTTGCTTCCAAAATTTTTAATAAGCTACTGATACACATAAAAAATTTAACCAAATTACATATATTTCGAGATAAACAATATGTTACTGTTAACTTAGATTTACTTTAGGAGATTTTGTAAATTGACTCATACACCCCTACCCAACATTGGAATTTTTCTTCTTTGTTATCATCTCTATATTATATAATGTCGTTCTGTAAATTCATACTTTAGTTTGTTATTTTTATACTATAGCAAACACAGCTAGTGCTTATTTTTTATTATCCTTTTTTTTTTTCAGTTATAATTAAGTGATTAACTGCCAAATATAAAATGTATATGTAAGACATAAATAAAAAAGTATAAAAAAAAATATAACTTTGACACCCTGTAATTGGGAAACTATCAACTTTTTGACTAAGATAAGTAAATATATTTTATGTATGTTCAATGATAATTCTTAACTACATTGTCTATGATTCTTTTAATTTGATCAAGATCTAATAATGGGATCCATGATAAAATCATCAAACTCTTAATTGTTTATGTATTTTCAGTGCTAATTCTTTACCACATTGTCCAATTTCTATGATTCTTTTTTTGTTAGAAAGGGGACACCTCAGGAGTGATCCCATATAAATTTCGTCAAGATATAATAATGGGATCCATGATAAAATCATCAAACTCTTAATTTTTTATGTATGTTTAGCAATAATGCTTTACCACCTTGTCCGATTTATATGATTCTCTTTTTGTTAGTAAGGGGGTACCTCAGGAGTGATCCCATATAAATTTGATTAAGATCTAATAATGGGATCCATGATAAAATCATCAAATTCTTAATTTTTTTATGTATTTTCAGCAATAATTATTTACCACATTGTCCGATTTCTATGATTCTTTTTTTATTAGAAAGGGGGTACCTCAGGAGTGATCCCATATCAATTTGATCAAGATCTAATAATGGGATCCATGATAAAATCATCAAACTCTTAATTGTTTATGTATTTTCAGTGCTAATTCTTTACCACATTGTCCGATTTCTATGATTCTTTTTTGTTAGAAAGGGGACACCTCAGGAGTGATCCCATATAAATTTCGTCAAGATATAATAATGGGATCCATGATAAAATCATCAAACTCTTAATTTTTTATGTATGTTTAGCAATAATGCTTTACCACCTTGTCCGATTTATATGATTCTTTTTTTGTTAGTAAGGGGGTACCTCAGGAGTGATCCCATATAAATTTGATTAAGATCTAATAATGGGATCCATGATAAAATCATCAAATTCTTAATTTTTTTATGTATTTTCAGCAATAATTATTTACCACATTGTCCGATTTCTATGATTCCTTTTTTATTAGAAAGGGGGTACCTCAGGAGTGATCCCATATCAATTTGATCAAGATCTAATAATGGGATCCATGATAAAATCATCAAACTCTTAATTGTTTATGTATTTTCAGTGCTAATTCTTTACCACATTGTCCGATTTCTATTATTCTTTTTTGTTAGAAAGGGGGTACCTCAGGAGTGATCCCATATAAATTTGATTAAGATCTAATAATGGGATCCATGATAAAATCATCAAATTCTTAATTTTTTATGTATTTTCAGCAATAATTATTTACCACATTGTCCGATATCTATGATTCTTTTTTTATTAGAAAGGGGGTACCTCAGGAGTGATCCCATATAAATTTCATCAAGATCTAATAATGGGATCCATGATAAAATCATCAAACTCTTTATTTTTTATGTATTTTCAGCGATAATTCTTTTCTACATTGTCCGATTTTTATGATTCTTTTTTTATTAGAAAGGGGGTACCTCATAAGTGATCCCATATAAATTTGATCAAGATCTAATAATGAGATCCATGATAAAATCATCAAACTTAATTTTATTATTTTCAGTGATAATTCTTTTCTACATTGTCCGATTTTTATGATTCTTTTTTTATTAGAAAGGGGGTACCTCAGGAGTGATCCCATATAAATTTGATCAAGATCTAATAATGGGATCCATGATAAAATCATCAAACTCTTAATTTTTTATGTATGTTTAGCAATAATGCTTTACCACCTTGTCCAATTTATATGATTCTTTTTTTGTTAGTAAGGGGGTACCTCAGGAGTGATCCCATATAAATTTGATCAAGATCTAATAATGGGATCCATGATAAAATCATCAAACTTAATTTTTTTATTATTTTCAGTGATAATTCTTTTCTACATTGTCCGATTTTTATGATTCTTTTTTTATTAGAAAGGGGGTACCTCATAAGTGATCCCATATAAATTTGATCAAGATCTAATAATGGGAACCATGATAAAATCATCAAACTCTTAATTTTTTATGTATTTTCAGTGATAATTATTTACCACATTGTCCGATTTCTATGATTCTTTTTTATTAGAAAAGGGGTACCTCAGGAGTGATCCCATATAAATTTGATTAAGATCTAATAATGGGATCCATGATAAAATCATCAAACTCTTAATTGTTTATGTATTTTCAGTGCTAATTCTTTACCACATTGTCCAATTTCTATGATTCTTTTTTTGTTAGAAAGGGGACACCTCAGGAGTGATCCCATATAAATTTCGTCAAGATATAATAATGGGATCCATGATAAAATCATCAAACTCTTAATTTTTTATGTATGTTTAGCAATAATGCTTTACCACCTTGTCCGATTTATATGATTCTTTTTTTGTTAGTAAGGGGGTACTTCAGGAGTGATCCCATATAAATTTGATTAAGATCTAATAATGGGATCCATGATAAAATCATCAAATTCTTAATTTTTTATGTATTTTCAGCAATAATTACTTACCACATTGTCCGATTTCTATGATTCCTTTTTTATTAGAAAGGGGGTACCTCAGGAGTGATCCCATATCAATTTGATCAAGATCTAATAATGGGATCCATGATAAAATCATCAAACTCTTAATTGTTTATGTATTTTCAGTGCTAATTCTTTACCACATTGTCCGATTTCTATGATTCGTTTTTGTTAGAAAGGGGGTACCTCAGGAGTGATCCCATATAAATTTGATTAAGATCTAATAATGGGATCCATGATAAAATCATCAAATTCTTAATTTTTTATGTATTTTCAGCAATAATTATTTACCACATTGTCCGATATCTATGATTCTTTTTTTATTAGAAAGGGGGTACCTCAGGAGTGATCCCATATAAATTTCATCAAGATCTAATAATGGGATCCATGATAAAATCATCAAACTCTTTATTTTTTATGTATTTTCAGCGATAATTCTTTTCTACATTGTCCGATTTTTATGATTCTTTTTTTATTAGAAAGGGGGTACCTCATAAGTGATCCCATATAAATTTGATCAAGATCTAATAATGAGATCCATGATAAAATCATCAAACTTAATTTTATTATTTTCAGTGATAATTCTTTTCTACATTGTCCGATTTTTATGATTCTTTTTTTATTAGAAAGGGGGTACCTCATAAGTGATCCCATATAAATTTGATCAAGATCTAATAATGGGAACCATGATAAAATCATCAAACTCTTAATTTTTTATGTATTTTCAGTGATAATTATTTACCACATTGTCCGATTTCTATGATTCTTTTTTATTAGAAAAGGGGTACCTCAGGAGTGATCCCATATAAATTTGATTAAGATCTAATAATGGGATCCATGATAAAATCATCAAACTCTTAATTGTTTATGTATTTTCAGTGCTAATTCTTTACCACATTGTCCGATTTCTATTATTCTTTTTTGTTAGAAAGGGGGTACCTCAGGAGTGATCCCATATAAATTTGATTAAGATCTAATAATGGGATCCATGATAAAATCATCAAATTCTTAATTTTTTATGTATTTTCAGCAATAATTATTTACCACATTGTCCGATATCTATGATTCTTTTTTTATTAGAAAGGGGGTACCTCAGGAGTGATCCCATATAAATTTCATCAAGATCTAATAATGGGATCCATGATAAAATCATCAAACTCTTTATTTTTTATGTATTTTCAGCGATAATTCTTTTCTACATTGTCCGATTTTTATGATTCTTTTTTTATTAGAAAGGGGGTACCTCATAAGTGATCCCATATAAATTTGATCAAGATCTAATAATGAGATCCATGATAAAATCATCAAACTTAATTTTATTATTTTCAGTGATAATTCTTTTCTACATTGTCCGATTTTTATGATTCTTTTTTTATTAGAAAGGGGGTACCTCAGGAGTGATCCCATATAAATTTGATCAAGATCTAATAATGGGATCCATGATAAAATCATCAAACTCTTAATTTTTTATGTATGTTTAGCAATAATGCTTTACCACCTTGTCCAATTTATATGATTCTTTTTTTGTTAGTAAGGGGGTACCTCAGGAGTGATCCCATATAAATTTGATCAAGATCTAATAATGGGATCCATGATAAAATCATCAAACTTAATTTTTTTATTATTTTCAGTGATAATTCTTTTCTACATTGTCCGATTTTTATGATTCTTTTTTTATTAGAAAGGGGGTACCTCATAAGTGATCCCATATAAATTTGATCAAGATCTAATAATGGGAACCATGATAAAATCATCAAACTCTTAATTTTTTATGTATTTTCAGTGATAATTATTTACCACATTGTCCGATTTCTATGATTCTTTTTTATTAGAAAAGGGGTACCTCAGGAGTGATCCCATATAAATTTGATTAAGATCTAATAATGGGATCCATGATAAAATCATCAAACTCTTAATTGTTTATGTATTTTCAGTGCTAATTCTTTACCACATTGTCCAATTTCTATGATTCTTTTTTTGTTAGAAAGGGGACACCTCAGGAGTGATCCCATATAAATTTCGTCAAGATATAATAATGGGATCCATGATAAAATCATCAAACTCTTAATTTTTTATGTATGTTTAGCAATAATGCTTTACCACCTTGTCCGATTTATATGATTCTTTTTTTGTTAGTAAGGGGGTACTTCAGGAGTGATCCCATATAAATTTGATTAAGATCTAATAATGGGATCCATGATAAAATCATCAAATTCTTAATTTTTTATGTATTTTCAGCAATAATTACTTACCACATTGTCCGATTTCTATGATTCCTTTTTTATTAGAAAGGGGGTACCTCAGGAGTGATCCCATATCAATTTGATCAAGATCTAATAATGGGATCCATGATAAAATCATCAAACTCTTAATTGTTTATGTATTTTCAGTGCTAATTCTTTACCACATTGTCCGATTTCTATGATTCGTTTTTGTTAGAAAGGGGGTACCTCAGGAGTGATCCCATATAAATTTGATTAAGATCTAATAATGGGATCCATGATAAAATCATCAAATTCTTAATTTTTTATGTATTTTCAGCAATAATTATTTACCACATTGTCCGATATCTATGATTCTTTTTTTATTAGAAAGGGGGTACCTCAGGAGTGATCCCATATAAATTTCATCAAGATCTAATAATGGGATCCATGATAAAATCATCAAACTCTTTATTTTTTATGTATTTTCAGCGATAATTCTTTTCTACATTGTCCGATTTTTATGATTCTTTTTTTATTAGAAAGGGGGTACCTCATAAGTGATCCCATATAAATTTGATCAAGATCTAATAATGAGATCCATGATAAAATCATCAAACTTAATTTTATTATTTTCAGTGATAATTCTTTTCTACATTGTCCGATTTTTATGATTCTTTTTTTATTAGAAAGGGGGTACCTCATAAGTGATCCCATATAAATTTGATCAAGATCTAATAATGGGAACCATGATAAAATCATCAAACTCTTAATTTTTTATGTATTTTCAGTGATAATTATTTACCACATTGTCCGATTTCTATGATTCTTTTTTATTAGAAAAGGGGTACCTCAGGAGTGATCCCATATAAATTTGATTAAGATCTAATAATGGGATCCATGATAAAATCATCAAACTCTTAATTGTTTATGTATTTTCAGTGCTAATTCTTTACCACATTGTCCAATTTCTATGATTCTTTTTTTGTTAGAAAGGGGACACCTCAGGAGTGATCCCATATAAATTTCGTCAAGATATAATAATGGGATCCATGATAAAATCATCAAACTCTTAATTTTTTATGTATGTTTAGCAATAATGCTTTACCACCTTGTCCGATTTATATGATTCTTTTTTTGTTAGTAAGGGGGTACTTCAGGAGTGATCCCATATAAATTTGATTAAGATCTAATAATGGGATCCATGATAAAATCATCAAATTCTTAATTTTTTATGTATTTTCAGCAATAATTACTTACCACATTGTCCGATTTCTATGATTCCTTTTTTATTAGAAAGGGGGTACCTCAGGAGTGATCCCATATCAATTTGATCAAGATCTAATAATGGGATCCATGATAAAATCATCAAACTCTTAATTGTTTATGTATTTTCAGTGCTAATTCTTTACCACATTGTCCGATTTCTATGATTCGTTTTTGTTAGAAAGGGGGTACCTCAGGAGTGATCCCATATAAATTTGATTAAGATCTAATAATGGGATCCATGATAAAATCATCAAATTCTTAATTTTTTATGTATTTTCAGCAATAATTATTTACCACATTGTCCGATATCTATGATTCTTTTTTTATTAGAAAGGGGGTACCTCAGGAGTGATCCCATATAAATTTCATCAAGATCTAATAATGGGATCCATGATAAAATCATCAAACTCTTTATTTTTTATGTATTTTCAGCGATAATTCTTTTCTACATTGTCCGATTTTTATGATTCTTTTTTTATTAGAAAGGGGGTACCTCATAAGTGATCCCATATAAATTTGATCAAGATCTAATAATGAGATCCATGATAAAATCATCAAACTTAATTTTATTATTTTCAGTGATAATTCTTTTCTACATTGTCCGATTTTTATGATTCTTTTTTTATTAGAAAGGGGGTACCTCATAAGTGATCCCATATAAATTTGATCAAGATCTAATAATGGGAACCATGATAAAATCATCAAACTCTTAATTTTTTATGTATTTTCAGTGATAATTATTTACCACATTGTCCGATTTCTATGATTCTTTTTTATTAGAAAAGGGGTACCTCAGGAGTGATCCCATATAAATTTGATTAAGATCTAATAATGGGATCCATGATAAAATCATCAAACTCTTAATTGTTTATGTATTTTCAGTGCTAATTCTTTACCACATTGTCCAATTTCTATGATTCTTTTTTTGTTAGAAAGGGGACACTGAATATCATGCATCCAAAAAAATATACAAATAAACTTAAACATCTAGCTAAAGAACTTGCATCAGTAAGTTTTTTTATATTATATTTACATTAGTATTGTTAAAAAGTAATAATTACACATTTGTAAATTATGTCAAGTTAAAATATTGTTTTAAAAAATCGAAACTGTAGAAATGAATACATTTGGATTTGTTTTCCAAGAGTTTTTACTAAAAATATAAATCCTACTAATTGGTTGTGTACAGAAAAAAGTTTAATCAAGACACCAAAATCAACTTGAAGGTAGGTAAAATTCAGCATTGTAATCTTTTTAGGCACGACAAGCACCCATGTACCAACAAAGTATCTACTCACCTTACCCACAATATTCAACAGCTAAACAACAACAGCAGCAGCAACAACAACAAAACGTCCTAGGCAATTACCCCATACACCCAGACGTGAAATTTCGCAGGCTACCATTCTATGATGTTCTGGCAGATTTACTAAAACCTTCTTCTCTAGTTCCTCAAAGCACCCAAAGGTAAAATATAAAATAACTTGCAAATTAATGAATATGGTTATGTAATTATTCGATGTTTTAATTTAGAATGCAAGAAGGCACCTTTTACTTCCATTTGACCCCCCATCAAGCCACAGATGTCGCCAGTTCGAGAGATATCAGGCCTGGAGTCAAATGCGATTACGTCAAACAGGTGCAGATGAGATTTTGCCTTTTGGAAACCACCTGCGAGCAAGAAGACTGTTTCCCCCCGAATGTCATAGTTAAAGTTAACAACAAATTGTGCCCGTTGCCTGTAAGTGTGCTAAAATTAATCTTACAAATTTTTATTATTTTCCTGATATAAATAGGAGTTTGGGATCTGACAAAGAGCATTGATGATCTTAAACATTCGAAACTATTTTTAACTGACTTCAAAAAAGGAGGAGGTTCTCAATTCGTTGCAGTATTTTTTTTATGTATGTTCAGCGATAATTCTTTAACACGGTGTCCGATTTTAATGATTATTTTTTTGTTAGAAAGGGGGTACCTCAGGAGTGATCCCATATAAATTTGATCAAGATCTAATAATGGGATCCATGATAAAATCATCAAACTCTTAATTTTTTATGTATGTTCAGCGATAATTCTTTAACACGGTGTCCGATTTTAATGATTCTTTTTTTGTTAGAAAGGGGGTACCTCAGGAGTGATCCCATATAAATTTGATCAAGATCTAATAATGGGATCCATGATAAAATCATCAAACTCTTAATTTTTTATTATTTTCAGCGATAATTCTTTTCCACATTGTCCGATTTTTATGATTCTTTTTTATTAGAAAGGGGGTACCTCAGGAGTGATCCCATATAAATTTCGTCAATATCTAATAATGGGATCCATGATAAAATCATCAAACTTAATTTTTTATTATTTTCATCGATAATTCTTTTCCACATTGTCCGATTTGTATGATTCTTTTTTATTAGAAAGGGGGTACCTCAGGAGTGATCCCTTATAAATTTCGTCAAGATCTAATAATGGGATCCATGATAAAATCATCAAACTCTTAATTTTTTATGTATGTTTAGCGATAATGCTTTACCACCTTGTCCGATTTATATGATTATTTTTTTGTTAGTAAGGGGGTACCTCAGGGGTGGTCCCATATAAATTTGGTTCAGATGTGGTGATGGCATCTGCAAGTTTTTGAAGTCGGTTTTTTTTTTTAATTTTTAATTTCTAATACTTGTATGTTTTTAAAATGTATTACTAAGTGCAGAGGAATCGTATTGAAGGCGAAAGCAAATTAATTATCATTTAAACAATGCACTTTAGATTATTTAATTAATCACTTGAAGAAATGTCGTGAACTATTTTATTTTCATAAAAATTCGCCGATAATCACCTTATCGTCATTGCTGAAAGTTGTTTCATAGCTTGTTTTTTAAATTGCTTTATTTGTTTGAATTTTACTAGAATCTGTCTCTCATTAATATGACTGCTTTTCCTCCACCCTCAAAAGAGATGTAATTGTCTAATTGTGTATAAATAGTCTGATTGTCCAATAATTAGAAGATAAAACTCTAGACCAATCTATAAAAAAATGTAAACATCTGTAAAATTTATAAAAAGAGATAAAAAAATCTATAACAAATTAAAAAATCTATAAAATCTAGTTTGAAATATAGCAAATGTACAACACTCATGTTAAGCCTTAACTTTTCTTTCTACAATCTAAGTGATATAATTGTTCTGTTACCACATAAGTACATATATCTAATTGCTTTGTAACTGTTATACTGGCTTTGTAACTAATATAATTAATACAATTGCCTGTAAGTGATGCCATTATTTCATAAGTGATCTAAATACTTTGTAAATGGCATAACAAATGTCATATCCCAACATACCAACAGTCATCACTTGTCAATAATTATTTGCCATCAAATTAAAGTGAGGTTATGCCGAAACGTCCAATTTAAAATGCGTAAACACGATGAAATGTTTACAGAATCCCATTCCGACCAACAAGCCCGGCGTGGAGCCGAAACGGCCTCCAAGGCCCGTCAATATAACCCAGATGGTGAAGTTGAGTCCTACCGTGGCCAATACTATAACTGTGTCTTGGGCGGCCGAATATAATCGCGGTTACGCCATTTCGGTGTCGCTTGTACACAAATTGAGTTCGATGGATTTATTACAGAGGTTGAAAAGTAAGGGAGCCAAGAATGCCGATCATACACGAGCTATAAGTAAGTCAAAAACATTGTTTTAAAAAATTGGATAGGATTAAGTATGGGGTTATTGATGACCTTTTAAGTTCTAATGGTATAATAGTAGATAGTGTATTTTTTGTTCTAACATTGCATTTCTTTCTAATTAAATGTAAGCAATATAATTGTTCTGTAAGCTGTATAATTGTCCTGTAAGCGGTATAATTGTCCTGTAAGCGGTATAATTATCCTCCTGTATGTGATGTAATTATGCTGCAAATGGTATTATTGTCCTATAATTAGAAAATAACATTTAACTGATCAGTTATTTATAAACAAAATTAGTCTTAATTAGACCAGTTAACACTAAGCAGATGTTGTACAACTCTCTCACCAACCCAGTTAAACCTAAACCATTCTTTCAACAATCTGCCCTAAGTGGTCCAATTGTTCTGTTTGAATAATCATAATCTAAAATTAAATTACTAATCTAAACTTCTTACCATTAAAATTTAATTAGAATATTTGGGTAAGTGGTATAATTGCTTTGTAAGTGCTATAATGGTTTTGTAATTGATATAATTATCTTGTAATTAATATTATTGTCCTGTTAGTGGTAAAATTGTTTTGTAAATTATGTAATTGGTATATTGCTTTTGTAACTCATACAATTTCTTTGTGAGCGGTATATTGTTTTTGCAAATGGTATAATTGCATTTTAAATAGTATAATTGTTTTATATGCACTGTAACTGTTTTGTATATGGTATAATGGCTCGGTAAATAGTATAATTGATTTGTATGTGGTTTAATTTACTTGTAAGTAGTTTCATTGTTTTGTAAGTGTTATAATTGATACAATTGTCATGTAATCAAGATAATTGTCTTGTAAGTTTCTAAGTGGTAAATTTGTTCTGTAAGTAGAATAATTAGCTTGTAATTCATATAATTGTCCTCTAATTAGGATAATTGTCCTTTAAGTGATTTAATTGACAAACAAATCTAAAAAAATTGTTCCATTCAAAAACCATATAGGTCAATGACAAAAAATATTAACTCTTTCTTCATCTTGGGTTTTTTAGATCTTCCATTCTATTCATAAAATCTAAATACTTTATTAAAAACAATTTTTATTTTAAATAAAATGTAAATTTTATATATAAGAGAGTTTTTTGTGTCTACTGAAAACTGATTTTTTCGACTTAAGTTGTTTTTGAAATGACCGATTCAATTGAAATGTCAATAAAACAAAAACATGATACAGTTTTTGTTATGCCATCTGTTGTGACATTCAAATCCTTTTTATTTTAGGCATTCAAATGTAATTTTCGAACTTGGTACATTAGAACTACCACCTTATAATCTGTTTTTGAAGTTTTATGACCCCTTATTTTTAATTCTCAAAAAGTAATTCATGGATATTTTTAGTTTTAGTACATTTGAACTACTTTTCTTGTCATTTAATTTTTGTAGTTCTAGGGCAGGGCTGGTATATCTAAGGGGGTCGCGACATAGGAGTCCATTTTGGACGCCATTTTTTTCGAAATAGTAGTCGCCATTGATCTGGCAACGTGGCAACTTGTAGTCGCCAGGTTTACCAATATAAGAAATAAAATCAATGTCATTTCTTAAATGACATTGCCATTATAAAATGCCCATATTTTTAGGATAAAATATTTCAATTTAATAAATTATTAGTCTCAGATGTACATAAAATACGTCGGGAAAAGTAGATCTCTTTCAATTTTGTGCTGTTTTAGTTTTGTTTATTTTAAAAGGTAATTAAAGAGATGAAGACAATTTTCTTATAGATGATGCACAACAAATTATTGCTCCCTTTTTTAGAGCTCCAGTCCCTTAAGTCTATTTATTTTAGGTCTTTTTAAATTGTTGGTAGGTATTATTCACTTCATTTGTATGTTTTTAGTTAATTTAAATAATTTTGTGTAATATCTTGCGATTTGTTTTCTATACATTTTAGCATGTATTTGTTGTCTACATCTTACAAAGGATGGATTTGAAATACCTTTGCAACAGAGGTACTTTCCTAAAACTGGCCGAAATTTGAAACTGAATACAGTTCTTAGAGAAAATCTCCAGTAAAAAATGTCTGCATGCAGAATAACAGTAGCATAGATTAACAAAAGCTGACAAAAGAGTTGGACAAACCTTTGTCTAGCTTTCTTAATATTTCAGGACAATAGTGTTAACAGCAGACTACAACAAAAACATCCAAAGTTTAGTAATCAAGCAAAATATTCCGGTATCTATATTTTTATTCAAAACTTTTGTGCTTCTACTCCAATACTAACCATATAGAAGCATATGCATTTTATAGTATTTGCAAGATTTAGATCAAATGTACCCACAATTTATAAAGATTATTAAACTAAAATAAAACATTTCAAATAACACCTGCTTATATGTTTTTATTAAATACATAAATTAGTCTCAACCACACTTTTTTTTTTGTTTTTACTTCTAGTGTAAAAGTGACTACTAATTCAGTCTTTCAAGTTTATTATTTATAGAGACCAGCTACTACAAAATATCTTATTGATGATAACTAATTTCTCTTTAATAATGGTTTTGCATTTATTAACATTTTACAGCACTTTGTTTATATGAAACCTCTATTTAACTCTTAATTAAATCACATTTAAATCAAGTAATTACATTTTCATATTCAACTTATGTATTCTTATTAGAACTTGGTCACTTTTTTTTTACTTTGAATCTTTTGACTGTGGTAACAGTCCATTCACCAAACCACAAAGTCACTTAAAAATGTTGAAAGAGAATGTCATAAAGGTAAAATTCCTTCTTCTATCATGTTTTTCATGCAATTTTAGGTTGTAAACGTTTTGTCCAACACCTTTTTTACAATTTATCCCAAGCAACACTATGAAAGATTTAAATCCTGGATTTACAGCATTCAGTTTTGAGATGAGTGCAATCACAATGTAGTTTAAGAGATAATTTTCACATGAACACTTATTTACCACAGCACAAACACATGTACCTATTCATGTAACATTAAAATAAAGTTGAAACAAATTGCATAATTTGGTATATAAAAAAGTACAAAATGTTTTTAGTTTTAATTCGACATTGGACTACGAGGAAAACAGTGGTTCATTCCACTTGTACCATATTGACATTATTATGCACGATGCTCGTTCAAACGAACGTCAGAAAAGTGTTGCCAACTTAAGCTGACTACTATTTCCCCCCTAGCCTCAGTCACCCCCTCATCCATTTACTGGGTCTATGTCGCGACCCCCTTAGATATACCAGCCCTGGTTCTAGGGCAAAAATGATTCATTGTATATTAAACTCTTCATTAATGAACATTTTTGAATTACTACCTTATAATTAGTTAATTTTTGCATTTTTGTAACTTAAAATAGTTTAGAATCTTGAACATTTCATTCATGAACATTTTTAAGTTTGGTACATTTGAACTACTACCTTATAATTCATCTATGTTTGCGGTTTTGTAAATTAAAATATTTTATTCATGAACATTTTTGAGTTTGATACATTTTAACTATATTGTAATAAAAATTTGCAGTTCTAGGGCAAAAATATTTCATTATATCATGAAATCTTTGTCAATGAACGTTTTTTATTTTCGTTTATTTGAACTACTACCTTACAAGTCGTCTATTTCTGCAGTATGATCTAAGCTATTTAAGAATCTCAAAAAAATTCATTCATCAACATATCAGAGTCTGGTACATCTGAACTACGATCTCGTAATTTATTTTTGTAATTCAAAAGGTTAAAAATATCCTAAAAAGTTCGTTAATAGTCGTTTTAAGCCTGGTACAATTGAACTACGATTTTGTAATTTGTCCGTTTTAGAATCCAAATTGTTTCAAACTATCAAAAAAGTTCGTTAATAGGTATTTTGAGTCTGGTACATTGGAACTATAGTCTTGTATTTTGTCGATTTGACAGTTTTGGCATCCAAATGGCTTCAAAATATAATAACTTCGTTAATAGTAATTTTAAGCTTAGTACATTTGAACTAATACCTTATAATTAATCTATGTTTGCGGTTTTGTAACTTAAAATATTTTATTCTTAAACATTTTTGAGTTTGATACATTTGAACTATCCTGTAATAAAAATTTTGCAGTTCTAGGGCAAAAATATTTCCATTATATCATGAAATCTTTGTCAATGAACGTTTTTGATTTTCGTTTATTTGAACTACTACCTTACAAGTCGTCTATTTCTGCAGTATGACCTAAGCTATTTAAGAATCTCAAAAAATGCATTCATCAACATCAACAGAGTCTGGTACATTTGAACTACGATCTGGTAATTCAAAAGGTTAAAAATATCCTAAAAAGTTCGTTAATAGTCATTTTGAGCCTGGTACATTTGAACTAGTACCTTATAATTCATCTATGTTTGCGGTTTTTTAACTTAAAATATTTTATTCTTAAACATTTTTGAGTTTGATACATTTGAACTATCTTGTAATAAAAATTTTGCAGTTCTAGGGCAAAAATGTTTCATTATATCATGAACTCTTTCATTGATAGTTATTTTGAGCCTGGTACATTGGAACTATAGTCTTGTATTTTGTCAATTTGACAGTTTTGACATCCAAATGGCTTTAAAATATAAAAACTTCGTTAATAGTCATTTTGAGCTTGGTACATTTGAACTACTACCTTCTAATTCATCCATGTTAATATAATAATAGTGTTATAAGTGAATAATTTTTTTTGTAGGTGATATAATTGACTTACAATTAGTATGCTTTTTCTTAATTTAGAATAATTATTAACTTCATTTTGCTTGTAAGTGGTTTCATTGCTTTGCAAGTGGTATAATTGATATAATTGTCCTTTAAATAGTATAAATTACATAATTAGTATAATTGTCCTGTAAGAGGAAAATAATTTACTTGTAATTAATATAATTGTCCTGTAGTTGGTATAATTGACCTGTAATAGTCATGGAATTAATACAGTTGTTCAGTATTTGATGTAATTGTCTTGTAAGTAATACAATTGCTTTGCAAGTGGTATAATAATTGTCCGATGAGCGGTATAATCGTTCTGTAAGTGATATAATTGTCCTCTATTGGACAACATAGGATTTATATTATATCCATTTAGTTGTTATGCCAATTAATATAATGGTTTGCCTGTTTTTAGTCAAAGAAAAATTGAGCGACGACGGCGACTGCGAAATAGCGACGACGTCGTTGAAAGTGTCGCTGATGTGTCCGTTGGGCAAGATGAGAATGACGACGCCGTGTCGACCGATGACGTGCACGCACTTGCAATGCTTCGACGCTTCGCTGTTTCTGCAAATGAACGAACGGAAACCGACGTGGAATTGTCCGGTGTGCGACAAGCCGGCTCTCTACGACAATCTGGTCATCGATGGGTCAGTTTCAATAATAAATAAACTTTTTAAATGACAAAATATTCATATCTTGGAGAAAAGAGAGAAATAAACAGTCTTTTTTTATTAATCTTTGTAGGGACATTTTAATTTTTGTTTTTATAGCAAACTAGGAATATTTTCATTTGTGTTTATTTCTCTCTTTTGTTCGTAATTATAAACTTTTTATAAAAAAATAATAAGGTTAAATCTGGTCGATACGGTGGCTGTTTTTATTCTTATTGGATATTTTTTAAGGTATTTCACCGAAGCGCTGAATTCGATGATGTTGCCGTCCGAATGTAACGAAATTCAATTGAACAAGGACGGCACTTGGTGCGTTCAGCAGCCCGAAAAGAAGGTGGTGAATAAAGTTGAAAAGGCGCCAGTGGCGGCGATCGCTATCGACGATTCGATAGAGATTATAGGAGACGACGTTGGTAAGTGTTCCTGTAAAATTTTTTATTTTATTTAGTTATTTATTACTAGCTGACCCGATCCCGTTTTTGCCAGAATTTTTCAAACCACAATTATTTATTTATTTTTATTTTTTATTTATTTATTACAATGCTCTACAGGCAATCCCAATTACAGAGCAGGAATAAAAGAACATACATTATATAGACTAAGTGGTACAAAATATACAAAAATTAGTAAACAGCTAGTAGGTAAAATACAATACAATAGAATTTTTTTTTTTTGTGTTAGGAAATGACATTTTATTTCCCTGAGTTTGCATGAGAAGATATCAATGTCACTACTCACACTGTTCACAACAATTATTAAAAGTGAATAACAGTTTCGTTACTCGAGAAAAATTTTTTCATGCAATACCTGACAATTTTTTTATTAATATTTAATAATTTTAATTAAATTTTAATATTTTTTATTATTTATTATTTTTTATTTATTTTATTTTTATTTTTTTAAATTATTTATGTTTATTTATTTTTTTTTTAAATTACTTAGGTTTATTTTTATATTTATTTACTGTTTATTATTATATTTATTTACTGTTTATTATTTATTTTTACGATACTCTTCATTTCTCCCTCCTTAAAATATGTAAATCGTTACTCCTTTACAAACTTTCACTCTCCCTTTCCCCTTTGTCCCCTTTCCCCAATTCCTCCTGTCGTCCCTTTCCCCATCCACAGCTTCTTAAAATATGAAAATCCAAAAACCTTTAAAAAAATCAATACTTCCATATAAACTTTCAACCCCCGCTTATCCCTTTAAAATGTGAAAATCCAAAAACCCTGAAACATGTCATTATTTATTTATACTCAGTAGCTGTATTTCAAATTTTCATGTTTCACTACAATCATGCAAAAATCATGTCTGATACCTTGCTCTGTGAAAACAAAACAAATTTATCCCACGGGAATCGTACATTTTTTCGAGATAAATAGTAGCCTATGTGCTATTCCAGACTATAATTTATTCTTTTGCAAAATTTCATCCTGATCCGTTCAGCCATTCTGGCGTGGTTGAGTAACAAACATCATACATCCAAACTTTCACATTTATATGTTAGTGGGATTAATTAATTATTATTAGTTAATTATTATTAATTATCAGAAGAAGAATTATGTTAAGAGTAGCATGTGCCCTACATAGAAAATCTGTTTCTACTGTAACAAATCTATTACAAAATTCGTATTATGCATTGTTTGCAAGAATAACTGTTTCCATGAAAGTTGTGCTAAAAGAGTTTGGGACAATTCTTAAGTGCCTGTCCAGACGAGCCACTCTGTGGCGCCACTCAGTCGCGCTGCTAAGTGGCGTGTCCAGGCCACTCGGTGTCGCCACAGAGTGGCGACCACTGGTCGTTCGTGTGGACGTGCTAGCTACTGAGTAGCGCGATTCCATGGTAGGCTCATGTTGGAAGGTAATTAAAATTTGCCAGTGTCATTAGAGAGTTACTGCAAATTTGTATAACGTCAGCCACTAATAGTGACAACGTAATTATAGGCAAATAAATTCCATGCTAAAATAAGACTTATTGCAAACCTGAAATTTTGACATTAGAGGCCTTGTCCTACATACATATTTCTAACCTCATTTTAAAAAATTTTAAATTACAGTTAAAGTACCATTTTAGAAGGTTTGGACGACGATGATATTAAATATTTAATATTAAAATATTCAAATTGATACGAATGTTGGCAAGCGCACCCGAAAACTATAAAGTCGCCACTAACTGTTGTCCTTAAACATCCACAATTAAGGACAGGCACAATCTTTATTAAAGTCAGTTCTAGTATGTAAGTGGTCTGCGCATACTCAGATGTCAAAATAAGAGCGGCACTAATAGTGACTGACCTTAAATGAACTTGCAATAACTCTCTATTATGAACTTAGGACCAGGAAGAACTCATTCTAGCGATACTTACATGCACCAGAATTCCTTACACCAAATTTCCTTCCAAGCTTTACTCTTTAATACCCTATTGCTATATTCTTTCAAACTGCTGTTCCAAACCGCAAGACGTTGTTTTAGTTCAACTATAAATCGATATGCATCGAACGCCATATTACTCAATACTGAACCCCAAAAATCAAAATAAAATATCTCTACCAATGTTACTAGAAGTCGACGACAAAAGTGGCCCGTGTGGACGGTTCCAGCGACTGAGTGTCGTCACTTCGTCGTGGGGACCCGCTTCTCTTCGCCACAGACGCTCGTCTGGACAGCTTCTACATTTTAACATTGAATTAAATGACAGGCGTTTACCCGCCACGAAGTGGCGCTACTAAGTGTCGCCACCGAGTGGCTCGTCTGGACGGGCTCTAATGAATCTATAAAATGTCCAGAGTGTGTAAAAAGTGAGGTTAAAAAAGTTGGAAACCCCGTTGGCAGTATCAGTGTTGCCCCACAGGATCTAAATGTGTCATCTGCAGAGGTGGTGAAGAGTATGAGCGACTTACAAGAAGCAGTTACATTTATGTCTGCCAAATTTGATGACTTAAAGAAAATAAGAGTGTTCTTAATGAAATAAGAACACTAAAAAACGAGAATTCGAGTCTTACAATTAAGGTGAATCAACTTGAAGAACGCATAAATTAAATGGAGATGAAGAAAATAGCCTGTAATGTTCAGATATATGGTACACAAGTTAATAGTTTGGTTGACCCCAAAGCTGTTGTACTTGAAATTGTTAATGATTTATTTCAAGGTAATATCCGAGAATAACCAAACGCCGAAAAGCGACAGCTTTGTCGGAACGTTTGATGTTTGTGGGATCGATTTGCGGTGACCTTGAAGACACCATAATTACACCACACGCAAGCTGAATTGGCTCGCTGTCGCGCGGAAATTTGTAATTTACACTGCTCAACTCTAAATATCTTTTTAGTAAGGGAGTAAATCATACAGTAATAACTGAAAGTTGTTGCGCTCGGATCAAAATCGCTGGACACCTTCGTATACGGTGTCGCCCTGATAGTCCGTCAGATAGTGACAGGTTTAGGTGCCCCATTTTCGCATACAAGACTCGAAGAGGGTTGAAAAGTACTTCGATTTTAAGTAGAATAAAAGGAAATTTACGAGTGGCTGCTGGGGATAACACATGGAAAATTCGATTTTCCTTAACAAAAATGAAAGGTTATTTGTTGCCCATTTTTCCACTCAAGCCGTTTTCACTACATGATTAATTAATAGAACTAGGCTTTAGAAAACCAAAGGCTTTAATGTTGCAAGTGGCTAAAGGGTTGAAATAAGGGCGTAATCTTCTAAGGAAAAATCGAGATTTTGCAAATAGACACCATATTTTCGATCATGCGCCGTCGAAAACCGACCCGGCGGGAAAGGGTCTTTGTCGTTTCTCGGCGTTTGGTTATTCTCGGGTAATATTCTAAATAATGATATCTGTGAATGTTACACCAAAGAAACAAAAAAAGGACCAATTATAATTGCAAAATTATTTAATCAGGAAATAAAAAAAAAGTTCCTAGCCAGTCCCAAAGGTCGTAAAATTGACTCAAAAATGCTCAGTGTTAACAAGTCAATTAATAAGACTACCAAAGAATCCACTATTTATGTGACCATCAATAGGAACTTGTTCAATATGGCATAGAAATTAAAAAAGAATGATGGTTATAAATTCTTGTGGTCAAAAAATGGAAAAGGGTTTATAAGAAAACATGATGGTGAACCTTCAGTTCGATTAAACAAGTGGAATTAATAATTAATGTAAACAAAAAACTACCTAGAGACTGTTGAATAAAACTTTATTAAAATGGCTAATACAAGTTCCAAATTTTATAACAATCTTGATGGTTTAAAAATGAAGTAAATCAATCTGTTTTTTCTATATTATACTTAAGGAGGTCCTTTCGCCACCAATGTTAAATAAAAAATATTAGATTATGACTAAAATTAATTTTTTTCTAATAGTTAAAGTCCTTATTTATCTAATAGTGAACTTTTAACTATACCTTACCCTGTAAATTTTTGAGATTTTTTTTTTAAATGTATTTGTACAGTGTCTTACGAGAAAGTAAGACCTCAACAACAATTCTCGAATTATACTATTATTTATTGATTAGATGGAGCAGAAAATACTAAAAATAAGGTTTTTGAAATATTTAGGTTTTGTTTTTTACAATAAAATATATAGGTTACCGTGGAATTTATTGAGAAATTAATATTAAAAAATTCAAGTAACCTAGTTGAAAATTTTTTGTGATTTTTTAATATTAATAAAAACAAAACCTAAATATTTCAAAAACCTTATACTTAGTTTTTTCTACTCCATCTAATCAATAAATACTAGATTTTTTTTTTTTTTTTTTTTTAGAAATTGTGAGTTCTAATGTGACGGCGAGTTCTACGACGGATAAATCGGCCGCTGCCGACGGGGCGAAGTCCGATGAGACGCCCCGCAAACAGGTTGTCGATTTAACGATCTCGGATTCGGACGATGACGAACCGGCGGCCAAAATTAGGGCGATTGCTCCCATACCAGGTACGTCTTTAACGTCGAGACCCGTCCTTAGATCTAACATCGCAAAGAAATAATTATGTTAATACTAATTTAAAGCAAGTAACTAAACAGTTGTTTTGAAAAATTAATTTAATATCTCGGATATATGTTTGTTGTTGCCGTTCGATTCGTTCTTGTGATATATAGAAATTAATTTAGTAGGATTTTGTTGTGATTTTGGTTGATTTTATCTATGTAATTTAAATTTTCTGATGTAAGCTTTGACTGTAGTAAATTTTTGCAATTTTTTATCTTGTTTTCTATTTACGTGTTTGTTTGCTGTGACGTTTTTTTTTTTATGTGGGTAATTGAATAAATGGAACGCCTTTTTTATTCGAAGCTCGAGTAACGTGTGAGAATATCCGTACCTCACCGGCAGAACGTCGCGTGTGTTAAACTAATTTTTTTGTTATTGTCTTACAAAATTTGGTTTGTCCTATAACTTCCCGTCCTCTAATCGCTTCTTGAATTGCATAAAGCAGTGCCTTCATTGCATCTCCCTCTTCGAGATAACATATAGGGTGTTTTACTAAAAAAACATAATTTTGGTATGCTGTGACTTTATGAAACACCCTGTATATCTTATTTATAATTTGTATTTAAAACCTTTGTTCGTATCCCTCAAAACAACAGAAATATTAAACTCTGAAGTATAAGTTGATCATCCTGTATGAACGAATTTTTTTTTTTTTTAAATCGAATTGTAATCCCGTATTTCTTTTTAAACTGTCAAGACTTATTTAAATACAAAATTTTATATGTCTACATTAATCCGTGCCTGCAATCTAAATATGCAATCTAAATATTTTGATCGCTGCTTTTAACCCTTTCTGTTATGCAGCTAAATCAATTGAAATATATATTTTATAAAAATTACTTATTTATTAAAAGAATATAAAATTACAGATCAGGCAGGATAATTTCTTTTGAGGGTCTCTTTGTTACAGTCTGGATACATATTTCTATGCTTTTACACACAGCGTAGCAAAAATTGCTTTTGTTCTTCCTTTGCAGTGATCATACTACGAAAATCTTGCATAAGTTTTACAGCCCTTTCAGCTGCATCATTAACTGCCATTAAGAAAATAACTTTTCTTTTTGCTTCTAAATAAGCAACATCGTCCCATGTAGAAACGGGTCTCTGGAGGAAGTTCTCATCAATTTTTAATCGAGAAAATACATTTTTTACCCTTGACAGACACAAAATTGTTTAATGATTTTCCTACAACAATAAATAAGGCAGTATTATTATCAGTTTAGTGAAAACATTCTTACTTACCATACAAATAATCAGACATATCTGTTAGTCTTAAATCGATGAGTTATAAATTAATACATTTACCATTGAATAGTGATATTAAATATAATTAATTAGTTATTATTTAATTACTTAATAGTTAATTACTTACTTCAGGAAAAATCAAAAAGGACACATTTGTATTTTAACTGTTTATTGTTTAAAATAACCTAGTTCAGTGTTTACAATTGTTTAAAACTACTTTAGTGACCTTTGAACTCTGCTCTTCTTCTTTTACTCTAGATAAATTTTACAACTAGGTATACCTATACCTGGCTAAGAAGCCTACTATGGTCAAATATTTTGGCACTTTTTCTTCTTTGTTCTTGGTTGAAATTTGGACCATGAGGTTTATTTGGATTTTAACCTAAAAACGAATTAAGTTTAAGCTAACTTCTAAAATATTAAGTATATATAATATTAATCTAAGTGAATTTACCCGATTGGGGATAAAATTATAACTATCTTAAAAGGGGCTGCTTCTGATCTCCGGCCATTAAGTGTCGACATTAAGTCTCAACAATATCTAAGTTTAGTCATCTAGTATTATCAGATATTATTTAGTGCTGCTTGTAGAGCAGATTACTACCTCACTAAGTCTCGTCTAAAGTACCACTCATGCACTGTATATTGGGTATAGTTCTTCCATTATCAATTGCAGATCATAAAAACTCGTTCGGAACCTTTACCGACAATTTTGTTTGATATGCCATAGGCGTAGATACCTACCTCATTTTATAAATTTATTTTATTAATACTTTTAATATATATCATATGCAAGAAAGTATTCGTTAAAAGGAAATCGAATAATTATAAATTGGACGTTATTATACGCCCTTATTTAGATAGATGCACTTAATTGTAATCTTACTTGGACTTAAAAAAAAATCATTATAGCTCGTTAACTTGCTACAACTGAATATTAAATTATAAAACGTAAAAAAGCGAGTAAAGTGTACCTGCCTGTAAGGGCGTTTGGTTTAAACAGAGTACCAGACGTGAACTGAACCCTTTTTGTACCCCATTCGTTCTTTTTCTGGAATACGAAATTTCAAAGAAAAAAACATAAAGGAAAATAAATTCTTTGCAAATAAAACAAAAGAAAAAAAACAATTCAATTCTAAAGTATCTTTATAAATAAACATGGCAGTCTGAATCCTTTGAACTAGAGTCATCATTTGGTTGAATTATGATGGGTTGTAAAGAGGGTAATACTACATACTCATCTTCTTCTTTGATAACATGTTCAACACAGTTTTTCCAAAGCTCTTGGCAGTCTGCTGCTAGAACTTTCTTTACGAGTTCTACAACTTCTTTACTCAGTTCTGGAGACTAATTAACAGTAAGCAATTCTTTGTTTGTTGGTCCTTTTTTACTATCACCTGCAGGAATAGGAATATTTTTTTCAGACAAAAGCTAAAATTTGAGCTTTTTACTGCTACTATTTGGTATTTTAAGGAGTTGCCGCGAGTGGTAGGATGCGTTGTTCATAACGACTACTGACTGTGGTGGAATGTAAGGTAAAAGCTGTTCATTAAACCGTTTTTCAAATAATTCTGCTGTCATATCTTCATGATAATCAGCTGCACAGTTTTTAATTTGTTTAGCAGATAATAATAAAGCATTAGGCACGAAACCGTCTTTGCTTCCAGCGTGTGCTATTATAATGCGTTTTCCTTGGCCCATTCAAACAGCAATTTTTACTATTGCCAACCCAACCGAAATTTACTACATCGTGACTGTCAAACCATGTTTCATCTAGATAAATTATGTGTCTATTAGAACTTCTGTAGCCTTTTATCTGACGCAAATAATCTTGTCGCCATTGACGATTCGGTGATTGCCATCTGTTTATTCAATTTTTTGTGTTTAAAACCACATGCTGACAAAACTTGACGCAATGTTTCTGTGAGGGTTTGTGGATAAAGCGAAATCGTTTTTAATACTTTTATTTAGAAAGAACTTTAAGATTTATAAAAAGAAACAGTTTTAACTACACTTGTGACCATGCATTTTTAGTACGCCATCTTTCTGTCAAACTTTTTCATGTTACCATCTTACATATAGGTAGACTTAAAACTAACTAGATTTAACATTGTTACCAACAGTTTCCAAACTGGTATAAGTGTATCCTGGAAAATCTGCCACTTTTTGCTGTATTACTTCCAATGTCGGAACCCTGTTCTCCTTATATAAACTATAAATTGTCCTTCGTATAAAATCTTGGGTAGCTCTGTCAACTGATTTCAGTTATTCTTTACATGTTTTTCGGTTTTATGAATAATCCACAGCAACCCCTTTCGTGACTACCGGGTAAACGGAAAATTTATTTACTTTAGTTAATTCAGCAATTGTTATTATGAACGCATTATCAGACTGCTGAATATTTTCCTTTTTTAAACAATCGAATATATTTAAAATAACTTGTTGTGTTTGTATATCTAAATCCTTATCGTTAAAGTGATACCTGTCTTTAATCTCACTACACTGTGCAATTTCATTTTCTTCATTCGCCCATGGTCTAAAGAACGCCATATTTATATTTATTAAAAGAAATTTAAATTAAACCAACCACACATACAAAACACACCGCACGACAGTACTCCACTGATATCGCAGACTGTCTTCCAGGAATATTTTCGAACACCTGCCTTCCGTAAACCTTCGGCCAATACAGTGCATTTAAGTTTACGATTCGATGTTTTCATTGGTAAACAACTGATGGTTCGTTTAATATTTACCGCTTTGTATAAGGGGAGTAAACATGATTTTTTTGTTTCTTAATTTGGCATGAGTACCGTGCGTATATATTAAATATTGGTGATTCCCCACATAACTGTGTTCTGCAATTGACTATACCAGCACTTGGACTGCAAGCATAACATAGCTGTTGTAGCTGTAGACGCCGCTAGGAACCGATATCGCCCTACTTGCCAAGTAAGAGCTTTCCAATTTTATATTGATAGTTGTATCTGAATAATGGCTACCATTTAACCTGCAAGAGAAATAACATTTAAATAGTGACCATATTATATATTTAAAACCTGTGAACCTTGGTAGTACTACAAAGGGGGATTCATTACCTATAGGTATCTGTTAAATAAAATTGGGGTTTCCACTTATAAGTACTTACTCATTGTTGTTATTGTAGTCACACTCACATATCAAATTTCTCCTTAAGAATCCATGCCACTCTCCGACTCACAGTGGCATTAAAACAGACCATCTCTTTAGTTTTGAGCTAACAGCACACTTCTTGTACATTTGAATTCAAATTTGTCTTCAGGATCAGAATTTTAAAATGGTAATAAATAGTATGGGATGTATTTCTTCCCAGAATCATACAAACTCTCGCTTTGTAAGTTCAGTACAATATTTCCCTTGGGTTCTTCATCAAATTCATCATCAAAAAGTGTAGAATGGCCATTTTTTCTGACAAGTACCAAAGATGTTGACTAAACTTGCTCAGGGCTGCTTTGGAGATCAACTTGTCAACAGTTTCATATTCCTTGGGTCTCTTTAAAAAGCACAAATCTTGATTTGGTGCCTTCAATGTCAGATTATATTGAAACCATAGTTTCACATATATAACCACAATGAATAAACAAACATCTTGTTTATCTTTGGCGCTAATTTTGAACAAACATATTTTTAAAGAGTGAATAGCTCTAGCCATCCACTTATT